AGGTGTAGTTATAATCCTCAGACAGCACACAGGGCTGACTGAAGCTCAGGTTTTTGTGCTCTTCCACCCTCCTGCACACACTCCCTGCTCTGCTTCCTGAGCCCGTTGGGTAGTTGTTTTCCTGACGCAGCCTCTCCAAATGCTTCATTCTGTTTCTCCATCAGGTGCACCCTCTTCATCTTTACTTTCATTTTTGTCCAGCATAGTGTGTCTGTTGTTCAGCCTGTCTCTGCTCTCCCCTGTTGTTTCGTGAATTACTTTGAGTCCCAGCACTCACCTGGAAAAAGCACAAACGACAGCTGATTACCTAACAGCTGCCAAGCTGTTGTGTAACATTTTTTTTTTCTATTTTTGTTGTACTTTTTTGTTTCATCTTTTCTTTCTTTACTTTCACCTGAATTTTTTATTGTTCACTTTTGACATTTGCCTTTCTGCAGCAGTGACTTCTAATCAATTCCGCATAAAGAGATTGAGGCTCTTACCTGGTGGTATTGTTGGCATAAACTCTATGAAAGATCTTATTTCAAACTAAGACAGTGTCTATGAAACAGGTGATTATTTTTTACTTTGTGATGAAGGAAGTCTGCAGGACAAGTTTATGAACATGATGGCAGCAGCAGACGACTTTAATAGACTTTAACACACCTGATGATTTCTTCTAGCATCTCTCAGCTGAGACTGACAGCTAAGGTAAAGGTAAAGTGAGGAGTGTCCAAAACAGAAGGAGTCACTGAAGTCAGCAGATGCAACATCTTTCACCTCAGCAGAGTCAAAAAGGTAAGGCATTGTCCTGATTGGTTGCTTCCATACTCATATCTTAACTCCTGCTGAGAAAACCTGCTGTTGGTTATTTGAGATGTTTGAGCAGCTTCATATCAGTCAGTGTGGATGTTGATGAAAGAATAACTCCAGCTTCTTTGACCCTCTGACACTCCAGCATCTGCTGCACCGAACCACCAAGAAGCAGGTCCAGAGAGAGGTTGGCGAACTCTTCATCCAGAGCCACACCTGCAGGTTAGAGGAATAACGTTAAGAGAGGACACATTACCAGAACTGTAACCACATGACAGGTGGGGATCAGATCCATTTGTGTTGGCAACACACAAATTAAGAAAATCAAAAGAAAAAAAAAAGACTATTTGCATGTTTCATTGCCTGAAGAGAAATAAAAAGAATATACTGTATGTTTCACTTTGCTGATTTGGGTCAACTTATGTGCTGACAGTGAGCAAAAGAGCTAAAAAAGGAGGCAAACTAGGGAGCTTTGAAGGATTCTGAATGTGTTTACCTCTTGCATGTCCTGCTGTTCTGCATCCTGAACACTGGGTTCCTCTTCACAGGACAGCTGTACATCTTCCCAGTGAAGGCTGCTACTTACTGCAGCAGGGCAGCCAGGATCCTCATCTGAAAACACAGATTTGATTGGATGAGGACTAATGAACAGTTAGTGACACATTTAAGAGAGAAATGAGCTTATTCATGTTCTAGAAAGTGTCCACAAACACAATCAGAGATCTTGTTGTTGTCCAGGGCCTGCAATTTGTGGTGTGGTTCATAAAACAGCTGCAAAGGATGGAGAAACAGGGAGAGGTTATATTCAGTTTGCTTTAAAGAAAATACTAAAAGAACCATTTTCACTCAGAGACAAGCAGGTTATTTTTTCCCCAAAGAGCGTCACCTAATCCTGTCTTTCTGTTCTGTGATTTGATGCCCTAAATATTTCTTTTCTTTTTGACCTCAGAGCTTTATTCAACCTGGATTACAGAAGCAGGGCTGTGAAATGGTCAAAATTGACTTCTAGTACAAACCATCTTTTCTAAACCTAACCATGAAGTGTTGGTGCCAAAAGCAAAACCAAACTGGGTCAATCCCTCAACATAAACCACTTACTGGGTACACTCTGACTGTATTAAGAACACTTTCCAACGACAACATCTAAAATCTTTACAAAATCAAAAAATCAGTTTTTTATTTGTTTGTTTAAAGTTTGGGCTTTCTTCTGCAAAAACATAACAGGAGGGACATGAATAAGTGTTGATGCTTTTTTACTTTATGTTAACCTTAGCTAGCAAAAAACAAAACATTTGAATAGGCTTCTGCGCTCAGGCTCTTACTGCAGACTTCAGGGTTATCAGCCTCTATCCAGTCAGAGTGTTTTTTCCCCAATTTTTATACTCTTAACATATTAATCTGCCTTTAGTTGATTTCTTTGAAGAAAAATGGTCCAACGTGGGTCAGATTTATCGTCTACCACCAGACTGAGGCCTGTAAAGGCCTCAGGTGTTATGGTTTAAGCACTTACCTCGCTCACAGGCGACTGTCTGGTGGAGCTCTAATAACATCACCATGGTAACAGACAAAGAAATCGTCAGTTAATCGGGGCCCCTGTCGAAATGTTACGTTCCTCCTCAGACTACATGAAACTCGAAAATAAACACCAACATAGATATTAACACTTAACATTCCCCAAATTATCAATTTAAAAAAAGAAGAAAAATGAGCGAAATTTTCTGTTTTCTTTCTTTTTTTTCATTCTTTTTTTTTTTTTATCTATGAATAACTGTTAACTTACAACAGTTTTGAACTATGCTTGGAGAGAGTGAGATTTTTTTTCCCCGTTTTTTGTTAAGAAGGGCAAGGGTGAAGAGTGTTTGAAGCAGTGGCGATTGCTCTAAGACTGCAAGGGAAGCTCAGCTTCCCTTAAAATGTCACCCCCCCCAAAAAAGAAAAAGTGGTGAAATACGTACTGCTGTGTGTACATTTCATTAACTAAATACGCGCTAGAAAGCCTTCATCTTTTGTTCAGACACTGTGATAAGAAGCTGATAATCACAGGTAACCGGCATAACTTCGTTCTCATTCATCCTCGCAGCGCCTCAGCGCTTTAAACAGCCGGACGCTGGGCTTCTGCTGACTTCAATGTGGAAGCTCAAAGTGGGTTGTTCCAGCAGCGAAACTAGACGCTCATTGGATAAATGCTGGGCTTTGTCCCGCCCATCGGAAGCTCAGCTTCACTGGAGTTCTATGGCGAGAGGGCGGTCCCGACTTTCTCCCGGACTCCAAGCTTCTGCATCCATGATTGGATGAGCTGTCTGAGGCGAAATCCTTTTTTGATTGACAGCTAAAGAAGCGAATCAGCGATCTTGAAGAATAAAACATCTACCAGAGCATTTTCCAAGTTATTCATTCCGTTGTTCTTAACTGCTCCAGAGACTTTACCGATCCTCAGCGACTTTTGTCTCTGTTAAAAACGACTGCCGTTGTGTTTGGCGACTCTGTTCTGTTACATACTAATAAACAAATACAATTATGATGTAGGCCAGAAAAATGAGCTTCCCCTCCTTGAAAGACCAGCAGCCGCCACTGGTTTGAAGACATGTTTTAGTTTAATAATCTAATAGAGGACAAATCCCTTTACATCAATTTCCTTGTTTGATTGATGACTTTCAGGACAAAATAAGACAGGAAAAAAAGAGTTGGCAAACAGAGGCCCCTTGGATAGCACTGGTCATTGACTGCATTTGTTAACTCCAACCCGAACATGCAGACAGCATGTGTGAGTGTGTGTGTACATTTACATGGCAGTTAAAAATAAAACTCAATTAATCCGGAGCCACGCCTTAGATTGACTGTTGTCAATCTAAGACTGACTGCTGATTGCCTGATTTTTGGCTTCCACTCCCAGCTCTTTTTTATTTTCTAATTGGCTGATATAGGTTGCTAATTCAAGCAGAGCAGTCTACCCTCGCCTCATCCATTCACACGATTATTAATCCCTTTTATATACAGTGCTTCTAATGTGTGGCACTTGTTATCACTTGTCAGCATGAAAAACGTCTTGTGTGGCATGTGAACTTATCGAAATTCATGTGACTTGAGAGCCTTGTGAGAAGTAGCTGAATGTTAGCTGTGTTCTGACATATCCTATTTTTCACAATGTAGGCCTATACTGTAAAGTAGTAAAGACTGGATTTAGGTCATTCTAATGTCACTGAACCAAGCATTTTTTGTAGATTGTTCGAAAAAACGTAGAGTTACGGTAGGTTTGACAGCCTTAGAAATTAAAAGTTAAAGAACACATTAATAGTATTATTAAATACCACATCCAGAGGTCTCCCTAGAAAAAAACCCTCATATATTAAGTGAGCCATTGATTTGTTATTTGGCGCCATCACCTGGCCAAACTGTGTTCATTCAGTTCTTGTACTCCTATAGGGGAATCACAGTCTTATTCGTAGCAGTGGACCCCTTTATGTTCAATCTAGAATTAAACAGTGTTGGAAAATGTCTTTCTGTAATCTGGTTTATCAGGTTATCTTAAACTCATTAAATTTTGTGCAGCCAAACAAAACATCCTGAGACAGAGCACAAAATCAACGTAAATATCAGTGTCTTTTTGAATCTTTTCTAATGTCTATACCGAGTAACAACGATGATGAATGATCTTAAGAGAAACCTCTTTGACTTTGTCTACAAGTAAAAGACTATTTGGAAGACTTTTGTCGAAGCAAATGTCCTTCATGATATTGGGTTAGTACGCAATCACAAAAGAATAGAAGTACAGTTGTTTGGGATTGTTCTTTCTTTCTTTCTTTCTTTCTTTCTTTCTTTCTTTCTTTCTTTCTTTCTTTCTTTCTTTCTTTCTTGTTTTTGCTTTTGTTCTATTGAAGACTTAAAGCAAAGTTTATCGATCTTGCTCTGTTCCTATGTATATTGGTGTATTTATAAATCACCAAACCCATGAATTTAGGGGTCTAAATATTTCGGCTGGTAAAGAAGAATTGTATTGATCCCTGAAGGGAAATTCGATTAATAAAAAAATAAATAGTATTAGCTGTGGTCGTTTTCGTCTAAAATATAAATAAAATAAAAGTAATAATAATAACAACAGTCATAATTATGATGCCCCCTCACTGTGAAAGACGGATCTAATTATAACTAAATAAATGAATAAATAAATATTTGACTGATTTTCATGCAGGCACTGCTACAGACAGCCCGAGTCGGCTTCTCGGGTCCTTTCCACGGGGCTGAGGAGGATTAGCAGCCAACATGCCGACTGTCGGAGTGAAGAGGGATCTCCTTTTTAAAGCTTTGGGAAGAACATACAGTAAGTCACTTAAAATAAACATTACAGTGTTGAACAAGTCCTCCGTTTGGTTTAAAGATCTGCTTCTGGCTTTATTTTACGGAGGTGAGAGACGAGCATGAAGTGACTAGCCCACTGGTTAGCATCCAGTGAGCGACCCTCAGCACAGTTTACTCTTTAGACTTTATCTCAAATATCCTCAGCTATATGGACATTTGAAAAAGAAACCCGAACCTAACAGATGCTTTCTTTTAGTTCTGTGTCAGGAATGTTGAATAAAACAGGAAATATAGTCCATTGTAGGTTGTCGTAGTTACTGGGCTGTTGTCTTGGTTGCATCATATCCTCCTGTCATTGAAACCTGATCATGCGGCTCTGTACAGATAACAAATGCGCAAATCAGGGTTGTATTTTTCAAGCTAAGATTATACATTTTATTGTTCTTGTCAATATGATGGCGTAAAACTCATTTGTTTAGATGTAAAAGGTTATGAAGCAGATTGAAATGAAATGAGTGTTAATTATGTCCCCTAAAAAAGACCCAGACCATCAACACCAAGACTGACTGTTTCCATCATCTAATATTTGATCCTTTGCACAACTGACAAGGAGAAGGGGGGTGGGAGTCAGACCACTAAAAGACTACATTTTATGCTGCAAAATCCCCAATGTTTGACACATTTGACTGTTTAAAGACAACACAGTGAGAGTATTTGTCAAGAAATACTCCTCGGCATGTACAGGACAAGATCGAAAAAGCTTTAAGGTGTTTATTTTAGGCTATAGAGGCCTGAAACCAACACAAACAGCTTCAAAAATAGTCATTTTAAGAAACTGCCTGTGTGAAATCTTTTGATGCTATTTGGCAAAGCTCTATTTTTCATACATAAAAGCAGACATCGTTACCTGTTGCTCTTTTTGTGGACTGAAACAGCTATACAGCTGTCTTGGTATTTTTCTCTAACTGCATCTTTTGGCAAGAACTTTTCAGCTACTTCATTGCAATATAATGTAATTCCGTCATTATACAAGTCTACTAAGGTCATGAAGTCCCAAACAGCAAAATCCACAAATGGTGACAGCTATTTAATGCCTTTTGAACACAGTTTCATAACTTGTTCCCACTAGATAATTTAATACTTGACAGTTTAATTATCTTGTGAAAAAGAGTTATTATTTTAAGTGCACAATATTACATTTTTTGATCAAAAGATTATGGCTTTGCACACATTCGAATAAACAAAGAAATTAACAGTTTTTGGGAATTAAAGGACTGTGTGTCGATCAATCAATCGATCAATCTACATTTATTTATCTACATTTAATAATATATTATTATTATTATTATTATTATTATTATTATTATTATCATATAGCAATAATACATATAAACTACTCAATTGTCTTTTTAATGCAAACCTTGAAGCCTCTCATTATGAGTCCACATATTTTGTTTAAATTGCAGATTTCATTTTTCTAAATACGTTGTACTTCCTCATATATTTTACCTGTTATTTAACCACTTTTGTCTCAGTTTTTCAGTCCTTTTTTTTTTTTGACTTACCACATTTTCAAAAGTTACATAAAACCAGCCATTTACTGCTAACGGACATATGAAGCTGTTTTTAATGATTCCTGTTTCTTGTTTGTTTCAGCTGATGAGGAGTTTGATGAACTGTGCTTTGAGTTTGGACTTGAGCTGGATGAGATTGTAAGTCAAATGTCTCTATTTTCGTGATCACAGAATTTAAAATTTCACTTTATACTGTAACTGTTAATGTTGTCAGTCATTGAAATGTCCCCTATGAGTTGCATCTGCTAGAGCCCTGACAGTATTTGAATCATGAGTCAGGACTTACTGCTGCATGCTTATTCTGTCCCGCATCTTTGGAGATAATGTAACTTTACAGAAAAAGACCTTTTTATGCTCTGTAATGTATTCAAACAATTACTTATACAACATATAAAGAATCTACTCCATAAAATATAAGTGCATACTCACTAGATATTCTGAAATATAAAACAAAAACATGCTGTAACATTAAGTTATTAATCATATGAGTCTTGATGCCTCTTTGCAGACCTCAGAGAAGGAGATAATCAGCCGAGAACAGGGTGACTCCAAAGCCACAGGAGCATCTGACATCATCCTGTACAAGATTGATGTTCCAGCTAACCGTTATGACTTGCTGTGTCTGGAGGGTCTGGTCCGTGGGCTGCAGGTCTTCAAGAATAAGTGAGTGGTGTCCTCTCGGATAGAACTGATCCACTACTCTGAACAGCAACAGTTTAAAGTGGGTAGGAAAGTTTTGCTGAGTGCTGCAGTACACAGCAGAGGAGTATTATCTGTAAATCAGTTTGGAGGGTTGATATTTTTACAGTTGAAAAGATGTCTTTATTTTAACGGCTTTTAAACAAACACAAATCCATTCTCCATACTGAGCTCGGTAATTCGCTCCAGTCTTTCTGCTGAGATTGAGTTTGTGTTGCAGGTTGGAGGCGCCTCACTACAGACGTGTGAAACCAGCCAGTGGGGAGCCTCAGAGACTGATCATAACGAAAGAGGTTGGTTTGAATATTTATGATTTATGATGACAAAGGCGAATGGGGTTATGTATACATCGTATATTAGTGCAAGGAAGATAAAAAAAAAAAAAAAAAAAAAGCAGCAAGACCCTCAGAGATAAAAAAAAAAATAGTTGATTAAACTGTGACATTTGGAGCCCCTGGTCCTCAGCAGGGGTTCAACCCAGTTCACTTCAGTCCTGGGCACCACTGTTACTGTTTAGCTTTATGACATCATGTGTGGTGAAATGTGCTTTAGAAATATACTTGCCTTGCCTTTAAATTGAATTCAGTGTTTTTATTATAACTTCAGGGTTATATTCATCTCATGCATCTCACTCTGTATCTTCCATGTGGTTTTATTCCACCACACCTGACACCAGAGTGCCTTCAGGCTCAGTGGTGTGCAGAATCTAAAGGTAGTATGTTAGTGTGGCCCCTATCTTTGAAAACACTATCACCTGATGAGCAGCAATGACAGAAGCTCCTGGTTGAATAAGTGATGTTGAGTTTGTGTGTAGCTTCATCTTTTTATTTTACGTTGTGTACTGACATGGTGAGCAGCTGTGGGTGAGTTAAAGGTTGATAACGTGTTTTTTCTGTGCAGACAGCGGTGGTGCGACCTTACGCTGTGGCAGCTGTGTTGAGGAACATAACCTTCACACAGGAGCGCTACGACAGCTTCATCGAGCTGCAGGAGAAACTCCACCAAAACATCTGCAGGTCAGATAAAATTTTAACTTCAAGTTTGGTGTCAAACAAGAATGAACTTGTTCCTGAGTGTCAAATGTGAAAGAATGAGTGCATTTCATCATCTACAGAACCTAATATCATTAAAAGATTCAGAGAATCTGGAGAAATCTCTGTACTAAAGGGACAAGGGCCAAAACCAAGACTGGATGGTCCTGATCTTCAGACCCTCAGACAGGACTCTGGAGTGGAAATCACTGTGTGGGCTCAGAATCACTTCCAAAAGGAAGCGATATGTAAACATGAACCAGAAACACTGCCAGCATTTCTAGGCCTGAGTTTATTTAACATGGACTGAGGGGAACATTTGACATTCTTGTTCATGGATGCTGCATCCTCCTTTCTAGAGAGCAGAGAGAACACCCAGCTTGCTATCAGCTCACAGTCCCAATCCAGCATCCATGATGGTATGTGGTTCATCAGAGTCCATGTCATGGGTAGCTTCTACATCTGTGAAGGCTCCATTAACGCTGAACAATATCTACAGGTTTAGGAGCAACATCTGCTGACATCCAGGCAAAGAGTTTTTCAGGGAAGACCTTCATATTTCAGCAAGACAACGACAAACCAAATTCTGACAACAGGGATTACAACAGCATGGCTCTGTAGTAGAAGAGTCCTGCTGAAAAACTGACCGGTGGTTTTCCAATCAAATGTTTGCTAAGACACCAAACACTGAGCGGAAGCTTTCTTATCCTTTTATATTAAATGATTTAATGATGTTTGTGTAGAAAGAGGAGCTTGGTGGCCATTGGGACCCATGACCTGGACACCATCCGTGGTCCTTTCACATACACAGCCAAGCCTCCAGGAGATATCTGCTTCAAACCCCTCAATCAGACCAAGGACTACACTGCCACCCAGCTCATGAGCCTCTACAAGGTGACCTGCCAACAGTCTTTAATGCAGGTAGAGAGAGTCTTTTGTATGTCTGTGCACAGTTAACCTGGTACTGTCCTCTAACCCCACACAGACAGACAGCCACCTGAGGCATTACCTTCACATTATCGAAGACAAGCCAGTGTACCCTGTCATCTATGATAGCAACGGGGTTGTCCTGTCTATGCCTCCCATCATTAATGGTGAGTTCTGTCTCTGTTGCTCTAACTGCATACTACCCCTCACATGTCCAAGTCTTTAATTATTCCATGATCATAAAAAATGGACAAAGGAAAGGTGTGAGAGACCAGAACTGAACTCTCTGTCCTATAATTGGTAAAAATGTGTTTTCTTTTTTAAGGTGACCACACTAAAATCTCCATACAGACTAAGAACGTCTTCATTGAGTGTACAGCCACAGACCTGACCAAGGTACAGAGACCATGAGGGAAAATCTCATTTTTGTATTTCAGTCTTTTTTTTCTGTTTTTGTGAGGTGACAGTGTCGTCTTGCTCTCTTCAGGCTAAGATCGTGTTGGACATGATGGTGACCATGTTCAGCGAGTACTGTGCACAGCCTTTCACGTGAGTCACATATCGCTGGTTTTAGTTCTCTGTGGGATGAACTGAACGCATGTTTTGGCTGAATCTGATTCTCTGGTCATTTTCAAACATATACAATTTGACATTACTAATAAATCAAACAGTAAATCATGGCATGCTGTTATCTCTATGGTTAGAAAATGTCATCTGAGCGATGGTACATGAGCTGTTTTCCATCATCTGTTATATGTTTAAGAAGAATCTGTTTTACTTCATCCTCCAGAGTCACGTATTTGCTTATTTGCTCAAAAACTTCGTTGTTGACTTTCAGGCTGGCTTGATTTCACTGATTACGGAATTACCTCATTTAAAGCTGCAGTAGGGAACTTTTGGTTTGTGCCTAAAGGTTTTTTTTTATTTTTTTACAGGAAACTTTAAATTTCAGGATCTCTTCTTTGTGCCTGAAATCTAATTTTAACAGGAGTGTGTGCAACAGTGAGGGTGATGTCTCTGCTTCTGTTTCTTTCAGGGTTGAGGAAGCTGAAGTGGTGTATCCTGATGGCACCGTCCACATATTACCGGTACTGGAACTTTTACTTGGTATTACATGCAATATATAAAACAATAGGCATTAATCAGCACAAAACACAGCTGAAGTTGCACTGAAAGCTTGAGATAATAACAACAACAACAATAATAATCATAATATTAATATGAATAATTATTATTAATATAATAACTTTATTTATTTAGCACCTTTTAAAAACATGTTTACAAAGTGCTTTAACATAAGAAGCAAACAAAGGCAGAAACAGAGAAAAGAAAATTGACGGTTAAAATAAATAAAATGAACAGTTCAAAATTGGTGGTTAGTGGTTGAGACGTGTTCTCCTTTAGTTGACCCCTCAGTAATCCAGACTTTTTGTGGTCATTTGCTGCTGTTTCAGAGTTTAAAGACCATCAAATGCTTGATAAGAGAGAGTAGAGGGTGGTACGGCTGATCCCCTTCAGTGTGAGAGAAAGTGATACCCTTTCATTGTCTGAAGAGGCTTTTGTGAGAGTCATAATTGCTCGAGGGCAGCCAGCTGACAGTGAGCTGTGCCAAAACTCGTGAAGTAGTTGACGCTTTGCCAGAGAAAGTCAAACCACTTGTCGCTAAAAGCTACAAATACCTCACAGATAAAAACCATGTTAATGCTGCAACTTCCCTCAGAAGAAGAATTTCAGCTCAAATGTATCTGGTGGAGAGGAGGGAATTTTTGGTATAATATGAGTTTTGTCTGCTTTCCTCTAATTCTCTGCGATTGTGTCCTGTTTTAGGAGCTGGCTTACAGAAAGGAGAAGCTGTCCAGCGAGTTCATCAACAAGAAAGTCGGCATTAAGTGAGTCCTGTGGGTCTGCTCTGTTACGGCTTAATTCCAGCAGATCTGTGTTCGGTGCGCTTCGCTTTGCTGAGATGTTTCACTCTAGTTGACGTATTTGATTCCTGCGCTTAGTTTCTGCTCCGTCTCAGCACCCTCTACTGTATAAAGGCACAACCTCTATTTTCACTGGATGCTGGACCACGGCACTTCAGAAGTAGTCATCTGGAACACCTCTGACAAATTTAGGGTTCTAAGATGCTTATTAGCTTTTGTCTGACGCTGGAATATTTCTGTGTGTCTGTATCTCCCTGAACACGTGTTTCAGTGATCAGTATTGTTTTGGTTTTTTTTCTTTTGACAGTGAGTCCACTGAGAAAATCGCTCAGCTCCTGACCCGGATGTGCCTGAGCTCGCAGCCTACCGGTAACGGCGATGAGATCGAGGTTGAGATCCCGCCGACACGCTCAGATGTGATCCACGCCTGTGACATCATGGAGGATGCCGCCATGGCTTACGGGTTCAACAACATCCCCCGCACCACACCTCGAACTTACACCGTAGCCAATCAGGTGCTTTGTTTTTCTTCTGTGTGCATATATTTTCCTTTGGTACAGTTTAATTGAATGTGGTCTGTCTGTGTTCTCCGTGTTCACAGTTTCCTCTGAATGAACTGACAGAGCTGCTGAGAAGAGACCTGGCTGCAGCTGGATTCACAGAAGCCCTCAACTTTGCCTTGGTAAGAAAAAAGAAGACACTATTTTATCAACAATTTACCTCTGAAAGTGGATCTGAGTGTTTTATTGGGGTCAAAGAATTCTCTGTTGCTTCATATAAAGCTGATATAATCTCATTTTGTCAGATAGAAATGCCTGGATTTTTGGTAGATAATTCTAAATAATACCACAGTCCAATGTTTTTAAAAAGTACCCACATGTTACGTTATCGTAGTAATCTCTGCGTATAGACTTTGGGTCTTAGGATGGAGGAACTTAATTTCAGTTTGTGGTACCTTTTTTTAAGTGGGTAATCCAAGTGGAATTGGCCAATCACATACCAGAAAAGCAAGCTGAACACATCCTGGAATAATGACGTCTCAGCTTCTGTGAGCAGCAGTCTGACATCAGTATATTGATCACAATAAAATGTGATAATTCTGTCAGCGCATACTTCCCCTGGTGTTGGTATGAAACAGTAAACTGTCGTTTCTGCAGACACATTGATGGCTTTCCAGGTTGGATCATTAGCATTCACAGCATCCAGCTGGTTCTCCCACTGCTGCTTCATTTCACTGACTGTAGGGTTATATTTGGGGTCATGGGCAAGTCAAATGAGTCAATTTTCATACTCCTGCTCCATAATAGACTCTTACAAATTTGCCTCTGGTGTCAAGACTTTGATCATTAAATTTTTAGTATATTTTAGTAATACTCAATTTACTGTATGTATGTTAATATCTATAAACGTGCCCCCTCTCTCCCTGCAGTGCTCTAAAGAAGACATAGCTGACAAGCTGGGAAAGAAGATCTCAGACATCAGGGCTGCTCATATCTCCAACCCGAAGACGGCCGAATTCCAGGTAAAAGGCATCCAAATAATACAGCTACTCCGCCTCACAGTTACAGTTAAATTTATTGTTGTTTGACAGAAAGATGCATGAAACATTCTTTCACAGCATATACAGAGTAGTTGCTGCACATACAAGTTAAACCTGTTTTTTCTATTTGCTTGGACTGCAAAGAAAAGCATGTCAGTTTATTGTGGAATAGTTGAGTTATTTATCTTTATATTTCATCTTAGTTAAATTACTACAGTCTGTGTTTATTATAATACATGCCACTTTGTATTGGTCTGTAATTTTTATGTTGTCTCAAATTTTCCTTAAAATATCGAGCTGTCATTTTAAGTTGATATTGCCTGTAATCGGTATGAAGTTATTTAAAAACAATAATTCATGGGGTCAGAGAGCCTCAGTCCTGAAATGTTATAAACCCCAAGTGACATTTGAGTCCATGTCAGCATCAGCAGGTGAATGTCATTTAGAAAGAGCAATGTGTTAAAAAAAAGAAGATATCACCCTAAAAAAATGTCACCAGTTTTATCCTAAAAGAGGAAAAAGATGGTGATCTGAAAAGCCTACAGTCTCTCCTTTGTCTTAGAAACTGATTTAATGAGTTCAGGAGTTTCTCTTTAATGTAATTTTTCTCTATTTAGTCCTCACATCTTTTTTATTTTCTGGAAACAAATCCAAACACTTTCAGCTACATTAAGTTATTAACACGTAGTGATTGTCCCTAAATCACTTAGTATAAAGGTGTTAAAAGCACTTATTTCATTTGAAGTATTTCAGGAGGAACTCTGAGAAAAGCAAAAGTACCAGCAACACGGACACGCATGGTGTGAAACTTGTAGAAGTTGTAGTTTAATTTGTCCTTAAGAGGGCGCTCCTCTCCTCTCTAAATGAATTTTGCTGTACATCCAGCCTCACTTCTCCTTCTCACCACCAGGTGGCGCGCACAACCTTACTGCCGGGCCTGTTGAAAACCATTGCCGCCAACAGGAAGATGCCCCTTCCCCTCAAACTGTTTGAGATTTCTGACGTGGTGCTGAAGGATGAGACCAAAGGTAGGCGTCTGAATGTGTGAAATCTTACATAACGTGTTCACACCGTACCCGACCAAACCTTTAATACTCAGTCTAAAATCCTGCTGCTGCAGCTCCAATATATGGAAAGACATTTGGTATGTGTTAGACATGAACATGAAAATAAAAATAATACATAAAAATGGAATAAAATTTGTATAGCTGCAAGACATTTATTCAGAAAGTGTCTTATTGTTGGACTGGGTTTAAAACCTGGATGACAAAGACCCAAAACAAACAGGTGGTTTTCTTTTGCTCCTCATGTAAAAAAATAGAGGATATTTGATGTTACATAAGCCATGATCACATGACAAGTTCAGGTAGATGTCTTCATTGTAAGCACAGTTTTCACACCAGTTGTCGGCTTTATTTACTCATTAAAAGCAGTTTAAGACCAATTTTTATTTTGTATATCCTGAAATGAGATGTTTATCTGGATTAAGAGTTTATATATGAATACTCAAGTAATACTTTGACAATTGTTAACCCCTGCTTAATTTTGAGTTTATGTTATGTGAATGTATTACATTATCCTTCATTAATCAATTGATCATTTATCAGTATTGATCAAAACTGCAGAAACCAGTTTAACCCCAGAATAATGTTCATGAACATGCACCATCCGATAAGTTACTGAGGTCTAACAGTCGCAACGTAATCAGGGAGAACAGTCATGATTTAGTCCCTGATTTATTCCTGTCCTAAGTGTCTCTAACACTCCCTCCTACTTCATCCCACTGACCAGATGTTGGAGCGAGGAACAGCCGCAGTTTCTGTGCCGTTAACTACAACAAGAGTCCGGGCTTTGAGGTGATCCATGGCCTGCTGGACCGAACCATGCAGCTGCTGGAGGTGAAGCCAGGCAAAGGGGACGGATACCACATCCAGGCTGCAGAAGGTAAACGGATTCACAAACCAGCAGTCATGTCTATACAGGAATATAAACCGCAGTTTGTTTTTCTGGTAAATATCTGAGGGCTGGATTAAAACTGAGGAAGACAATCCCGGGACGGATTTAACCTACAACGTCTCTATGTTCCTGCCAAGCTGGTGAAACTGATGATTCTGGGTCACGTGAGGTTGATAGGCAGGTTTAGTTGAGATTATGTAAATCCTGTTCATGACAGCAGGGATTGCACTGTTATGTACTTGGAGCATCATGGAGCCTATTTTGAAGTCTGTCCTACAGGCTGGATTTGACCTCTGCTCAGATTCAACATGCAGCACTGATGGTTAGAGTAAATCAGGTCAACGAGGGAGCATAAAGAAAGAAATCACAATAAATCGACGCTTTCATTCACAGTTAGTCTTAATTATCAGCATTTTTCCCGTGCAGGAAAAAACCGGCAGCACCTGTAGAAAATTCTCTCCTCTAAACCTTTTCTTTTAAAATTTCCTCCACATTCGTGTCTGTTTTCTTCAATTTGATGGACGTCCTTGTGTGGTTTGACATCTTTTTCCAGTTCTTGCATCACTTTCCTCCTCATCTCTTTTTTTCTGGCCGTTAATCTCCAACCCAAAGATTTTAGAAATATCCTCCAAGTTGTTTCCAGTCACTTTTTTGCCACATGTTGAACAGGAAATCATAAAATTCATGTGGCTCTGTCTAATCTAATACGACCTGTTGTCATCACTTTCAGACAAAGCAGTACATCTGATCTTTCCTTTCACCTGGCTGATGTCTGACTCAGATCAAACAAACAGATCCTCTGACTGCCGTTCAACATTTTTATTGGAATCCGACCCAGTGACTTCTGTGAAAGGCATTTAAAATGATCTTTTCAAACGAGTCAGTTCTCTCGCTGTTGGTCTGGTTTGAAGGAAGTTGATTTAAGGAGACTCGGCTAAGGAGCAAAGGACTTGATTTGCATCCTGTTTGTTTGGGACATTTCAGAGTGAAGCTTTTAATTCCCCTGACTCTGCAGTCCAAGAGCAAAGCTGTCAGCTCAAATAATAATGATTAGAGTCTGTATTAAAAGCAGCAGGCTTACTCTTAAAAGACGTTAGATCTGAGTTTGAACCCTAAAATAGAAATTGCACAATGCATCTTCAGTTTAGTGGTTTTTCCCGTTAATGCCACCCCTTTAATGCCATCACTTCAGCTCTTAATGGTCCACATGAACAGCTGCAAAACATCACTGAAGGTTTCGAAGATTTAAGAGTTTTTTTTTTTTTTTTTAAATCTTTGCAGACATACAAAGTATAAATCTAAGCTCTGTTAAGTCTTCAGGATTAATTGATTAGCTCAGATTGTCGTTGTTTTCGGAGTTGTTTACCAGCACTTCCCAGGCTAAGGGTCAAAAAACGTAGATAAACAAAGATGTAATGATATCAGAGTCTCACACTGGGATCCTATCATGCTTTTGCTTCCTTAAGGTTCTTTTTCATTTAAGCACTCTTCTCTCAACCAACAGTGTTTGAAATATGGCCATGATGGGAATTTATACTTCAGCTCCAGCTTGTTTACCATCCCTCTGAATCCTACGTCGTCAACCACAGAAAATATCTGCAGTTTCTTGGGGTCTCCTATTCAGACTTCCATTTTTTCTGGTGCATCCCCAATTAGGGGTTGATGGATATCAGTTTTTCCGTGGATGACGCCACTAGAGGAGGTCAGCCAGCGGCCGATTAACAATGCCAACATCAGGTTGCTGTTAATCGCATTTGACAGTATGCAAAAACTGTTCATTTTTCAGATCATGAGGAGGGAGCTTTTCAAGTTGCTGATTTGGTTGTAAAATATGCAGCACACAGGCCAGAATCCATGTATTGCACTCCCATTTGCATTGAACAGCTGATGGATTCTGAGATAGTGAGATGTGCAAGTGATTGAAGCAGAAGTTGGAGCTCTACACAAATCTTACTGCATCTCGTTTATTTGCACCTCAACGTGAAACAAGAGTCGTGCAAACCGTAATGTGCATGCAGGAGAATCAACCTGCGTCTACATGTGACTCACAAAAACCTGCAATAAGGTTGTGGCAGAAGACTCAGCTCAGTGTCATCTCCCTGATTCATCTGATCCTGAGGTCCAGACAGGTTCTGAGGTACAGCACAAACTGATCTGTGTGCATTTAGGATCCCATACTCCCAGAGAGACTTTCACACACCGTTTAGGGCTCAGTCCTTTCACTTTCCACTCCTCCTTCTCCTCTCTCCTTGGCTTACATGCTCCAAGGTCACGCCGCAGGATATCCACTGCTGGCCCACTTTGACTGCAAATCAATGGGCTCAAGTGACAGTGAATGAGGGCAGTGAGGAGAGGGCGAGACGGACTGAAGAGAGGGAGAAGTGATGCGACTGGAGGAGGTATGAAAGCATGTGAAGCCTGCAGTCTGGAAGAGTGCATGGGAGTCACGTCACCCAGTTCTGCAGTGCTGAGCAGCAACACAGGCTGGCACATAGAGCACCCACCCACGGGTGCACAGAGTGTCCATCTGACAGGCACACACACTCAGTGCGAGCTGAAATGGACGCACAGTCTGCACTAATGCACGACACACTGGGCACACACTCCCACTCTGCCTCTATTTTTTTCCACACTTCATGCACCATTAGCCTAACCCCTCCTCCCTCCACACACACATATGTCAGCGTGTCCTTAACCCCATTATAAGGTCCCGACCCCAGCCTGAGAGCTCACCTGATGCAGACGCATGCTACAGGATGAGTCCATCAGCGGTGCGGCTAACTCACCGTTACAGAGTGAAAGAGTGGCCGAGGGAATACACATCAACTGAGTTTCTTCCACTCAGCGGGAAGAGAGGATGAAATAAGGAGTCAGGGGATCAGAAGTGGAGGAAGAAACCACTTAGGAGACAGATGCCTGTGTTTCACTTAACAACTGTGTCCAATGCAAAGTCCCGGCCCGGAGACCCTTTGTTACAGGAGAGTCCGGGAGTTCATAAGACTCCATTTGTTCAATAATTGACCTGAAGTGCTCAGACTTCAGGAACTGATATTTTTGTGTCAGCTCCTCATTCGAAAAGCGGATGTGCTGAAAATCGGACAACTTTCACCTGTGAGTGTATAAGACACACTGTAAGGATCTTTACAAACAACTTGACTGTAGATGACTCCAGAGACTTGGGCAACTTATGCTAAAGTAGTTTATGTCATATTCTATTAAAGAGGAGAGCACAGGGCCATCCCTCCTGCAGCACGTTTACTTTTGAAATTCACAACCTTCATTTGTTGGACATTGTGCAGTTTGTGGTTCAGTCTGAACTGAGGTGGATAAGAAAGCTCCTTAGTTTTTTGTACCTTTTTATCTGGAACATGAACAGTCTGATTTCAAGCTGCAAAACTCTGTTAGTCTGAAGGCTCTGAAATCTTCAGGGAAAAATCTTGAAGCCAGGTTTTCCGTGTGCAAATGTCTCCCTCTGATCTTAGCGGGACAACCCGCGCTAAATAAAGATAATAAAAAACATCTTTGATTCCAGTGCAGGCCGCTTGGAGTGATTTCAACAGCAGCAAAGTCTCTCTTTCTCTTCCCGCTCACTCAGTCATTCCCCTGTGCAGGTGTGAGTGAATTATTGCCTGATTGAATTATGAAGCAAGATAAGATTTCAACTCAAACACTTCACCTTATTTCTGCATGGGTTAGGTTGCACCACAGTGAGTCAATGAAACATGCTTTTGGCAGCAAGTGCAACAAGTTCTTCCAGGGTGTATGCGATGAGGAAAATGCAGAAGCTGGTGCACACTGCATGTTTCCCAGCTTCTTCGTTGGCCGCTCGGCTGCTCTGGTAACATCAGGAGGCGTGATGGGTTAACCTGATACCACCGTCTCCCTCTCTAACTGGGCTGCTGAAAGCTCTGCTGCAAGTTGGAAGAGAGTGGGCGAAAAAGTGGCCCGGCTCAAGTGTAGGATTTTCATTGACTGATTAGTTATTTAAGATGTACCGGAGTTATTTATATGGTTGCCATGGCAGCACACTCATAGTACAAGTACATGACGTGTGTGGACACAAGCTACTTCGGCCAATTTAATTCACCCGACAGAGACGGAACAGGCGGATGAGAGATGTGGCAGAATATCCTGCTGTTTCTTCACATGCACACGCACACACACACACACACACACACGCACACACACACACACACACTATAAAGTCCAGCCCATGTGTGTTGTAAGCCATCAAAAACTTGATGAGTGAACATCTAAGCAGTGGGCTCTGGAAGCCATTAGGAAGGCAGCGTGGGAAGAAGCAGTGCACTATGGGAGAATGCCATGTCTGTGCATGTGTGTGGGGGGGGCTGTTGTCACGGCAACCCCTGTATCTTGTTAAATCGCTGACCAGTGTGCGTCTGTCAGAGTGGTCTGAAGAAAAAAATACGCCTCGCACATCCAGAAGTGTGGCGTCATCATCTCTCTGTGGATGAACACTTCTGACTCCCTCTGGACCGGAGTGACCTTCACTCCTGACACACACACACATACACACTGAAGCATCAGATTTTAATCAGAAGAGAGGAAGTGTGTGTCTGAAATTGATGGATTCATGAAATCTAATTATAGCCAAATGGCCTGCGGAGGTTGTTGCTGAAGAGTAATGACCTGTGACATTTTCACATAAAGCATGCTGCTCTGTCAGAGACTGATATTAAACAACACAGATCCAGCTCAATCCCCGTCCATCAAGGCTTCTGCTTTTTTCACTTTTTCTTCAAAGTCTATCTGGTTCACAGAACACGAGTCCTTTCTCAGCTCTTGTTTTGTTTAGGGAAACAATGATTGATTTCTTCCAATGTGGTTTGATGAATACTTGTCAAAAGAAAATCCAGAACCAAGAGGCAGCACATCACCACGCATGCTGCTTGCTGGAATCGTGATCTGCAATACCACTTGCAAGAATCACAACTCCAAAAGGTTTAAAAATGAAGATTTTATTAAACCCCGATCTTCAGAAGTGCTCTTTTTTTCTGCTTCTAAAGTTTTTGTCGAGATAGTGGCAGAAAAAGGATCCAAAAACCCCCAGATCAAGCAGATGGTTTGTTAGTCACATTACATACTGGTTAAAAATAGTTTGCATGGGTACAAACAGATTGCTACAAGTAAGTGGAGGTGTTGTAATAAAAAGCAGCTACAAAAGCATGAAAGTGTTGGCTTTGTGTAGAAGAAGAAGAATCAGTCAGTGCCAGATGGATTTGTTCTCCACGAGGACAGCTCGGTTTCAGAACAACAGACCTTGCTTATATGTTTTGCACACACTCCACCTGTCTCTTTTAAGTCTATTTTTCTCATGCAAAACAAAAACTGATCTTTATTTTATGCCACACAAGCTCCAGCAGACCTGACACTAAGCCTGCAGGATACGAAGCAATTTAATTTTGAGGTATCAGTGATAGAACAAAAGCTCATGTTGCCTGTTTCACTTCACTCTCCCTGCAGACCTGAGATTGTTTGGTGTTTGCACAAATATCATCTTCACATTTTACTGTCTTTGGGTTTGTTTTCCTCAGCTGATGACCCGCCCACAACACTATCTGATTGGCGACCATCACACGAGGCTTTGGTGTAACTGCGCTTTGACTGGTTAACTGTTAAACTTTAACACAAGGTTTAAAGTTTCAGTTTTGTTAAACATTGTCAATGTTAATTTTGATTTAGTTTTAGTGTTTTTAAAAAATTTGGGGTTCATCTTGGTGTTTTTTAGTTTTGCTGTTGTTTTAGTCAGGACCATAGACTGTATAAAGAATGGACAGAGCCTGCCTCCTTGTTGGGTGAGGCCACTCCGAGAACAGCACCCTCTGTTGATGGGCTGCAGTATAGGTCATAAATCCCGCCTCCACCAGCAAAGCTTATGGAGCTGTGGACAAACTGTAGAAAGAATATACAGAATATACATTTTTCTCCCCCCTGTTTATGATGTTGACATGTAGTTACAGTAAGACTGGTTTGTGCTCAAGTCCTCTTTTTTTCTGTGAAGCTCCGTTTTTAAAAGTTGTTAGGGGGTTCACGTTTTCTATGATTGACACTTGATACAGCCTATGGGCATTCAGGGATTGTGTAGCTCTCCCAGAGGATACGCTGTTTGAGCCGAGCATCATCCCAGCGACTCTCGGCGACTGCACGGCCGAATGCGCGCATCGCTACTGCGCAGCTCTGGTTTCAGGAAATGAAGAAAAATCCCGGAAATACCGAGAGCTTTTTGGCTTCAAATGCGTATACAGGCGGTAGATGGAACCAAGTTGTCCATAGAATATACAGTCTATGGTCAGGACTTAGTCAGAGGAACTCATTTAACAAGCTTTAGTCAAAACTTTCTCACTTTGTTTGGCTGTCTTTGCTGAGAGCCTGTTTTGAAACGTGCAATGAGTCCCATTTCAACAACAAAACCCACTTTTCACTTCATGAAGGTACATTTAACTGAATTGAAGGAGGTGGTTGAATACAGGAAGGCAGCTCAGCTCCTTTTAATTTAATGATTGGTGAATGTAGTAAGGTATGCTAATCGCCAACAGGTGTTCGGTTGAGTTTTTCTACCCAGTCAAAGACTGCTACCGTAGCCTGGTTTAGAGCTGATTATAGAAGTCAGATTTTTGTGAACATTAAATTCAGAGAGTTATTGCGTACTTGTGTCAGCAAATCATCATATATCGTCATCATTTACCCAAGCAGACGTTTTTGTCTCCCATCTTGTTACCTCATCAGGAATGATGCGCAAAGTCTTGTCTTCAAAAGAAGTTGTGCTGTAGCATCTGTATACGAGTCACATTCTCCTCCTGCAGAGCTCAACTTGCCAATACAGATGTGATCAATTTAATGATAATCTATTCTGATTTTTTTATTCTTGCTTTTAGATTCCACCTTCTTCCCTGGGCGATGCGCAGAGGTCTATGTCCGAGGACAGAGCGTGGGCCGTCTCGGGGTCCTCCACCCGGACGTCATCAACCGCTTTGACCTTACGATGCCCTGCTCAGCGCTGGAGATGGACCTCGAGCCTTTCCTGTGATTTCACCTTCCTAAAGCTAAATTTTGGTTCAAATAACACAGTTTACATCCTCAGAACAAAACACAAGGCAATCATTTTTATAAGTAAAATGTATCAGGTTTAAAAAATATATATATTAAAAAGAGAACGGGTTCTTAAACGAGTGAAATCATGTGGAAACTAAAGGAGCAAACTGCAGCATTAGTATGTAGAGCCACTGTGTTTATATCAGAAATGAGGCTGTTTTTACTGAAGTCAGAGCAATTAAAAATGAACAAGACTTCATTGTGTTCCTGACGTGACTGGTGCGTGTCTTTGTGTCCGTGTATGTGTGTGTGTGTGTGTGTGTGTGGGCTTGTTCATGCATGCCTGTTCTTAATTTAGCTCACTCATGCCTTGGGGTTGGAGCACAGTAATTAAACTCAGTGACTCATTACCTGTTGCTTTGTTGCCTTGGTTCTTCCAGCGGCCTCACTGCAGAAACCGCCCTCACACATGATGTCCCCATGCAGGAAGTCATCAAGCACAACTTCCCTACGCAAGAAGATTCCTCGAAGGTCCCGCCCTCCCGCCCCACTTCCACAAAAACTGTGTTTGGGGACATGAGCATGCCCACCGGCCTTAAAGCTCTTAATGACTTTCTGGCTGATAAAAGCTACATTGAGGGCTTTGTTGCGTCCAGGGCTGACGTAGAAATGTTTGAAGCCATCCCGTCTGCTCCCTCGCCAACCTTCTGCCACCTCACACGCTGGTATAACCACATCAAGTCCTTCCAGAGAGAACGAGCCGGCCTCCCTCCAGCTAAGACTCAGTTCGTTCTCCCGGTCGCTCAAACAAACGACGCCAGTGACGATGACGACATCGACCTATTCGGCTCAGATGACGACGAAGAAGAGAGCGCAGAGGCGGCGAGAATCAAGGAGCAGCGCCTGGCCGAGTACGCCGCCAAGAAGTCCAAGAAGCCAGCTCTCATTGCCAAGTCCTCCATCTTGCTTGACGTCAAACCCTGGGACGATGAGACGGACATGAGCAAGCTGGAGGAGTGCGTGCGAAGCGTCTGCATGGACGGGCTGCTGTGGGGGCAGTCCAAGCTGGTCCCCGTGGGCTACGGCATCAAGAAGCTCCAGATAGGATGCGTGGTGGAGGACGATAAAGTAGGCACAGACCTGCTGGAGGAAGCCATCACCGCCTTCGAGGAGTATGTTCAGTCTGTGGATGTGGCTGCCTTCAATAAGATCTGAATCCGTCTGCTGAACGGTACCATCTGATGTCTGCTGGTCTTGGGTGTAAGATGACGGGAAATGAAGCTAAACATTCAAGCACTAATTTAACGTCTATGTAACACAACAACCAACAACGCTCAGGTTCTTCATTGAAAAGACTGTTAAACCTTTTCATAGAAACTCTTGCATTCAAAGATCAAATAAAGCCACTCTAACTTTTGAACAAGTACTTTGAAGCTGTTATTGTGTGATGCACGTTTTAGAGGTTATAAGTTCAGACTTCCTCTATATCTGCTGGTGCTTGACTGTCAATTCAAAGGGTAATAGTTACATCTTAGAGCCTCCCATATGAAAGCGGAGTGAGCAGATAAGAAGACGTCTTGTAAATTCAGTCTGACAGGTGCTCCGGCATTCCTACAACCTCTACTGTAGCAAAAGGGAGGTTAACTCTTTCATTACTGCCTCCAAAACAAACCATGACAAGTACTATACCTATACCGGTTTAAACCTGCTCAGTAATACGACGTATAGGGCAGATACAGGCCGGTGCCAGTGAAATCAAAATGTCAGTTAAACTGGTTTACAAAGGTTTATTCTGCAGACTGGTGCTGGCAAGTCTGGCTAAGGGTGGGGTTCTTCCAGTGGGAAAATACTGAAGCATGTGGAGCTTCTCAGATACTCTCCTATAGTGCTAAGACAACATATCAAATGTTTCAAAACAAGGAATATGTATACTTAACTCAAAAATGATGTGCTTGTTTTATATTTGGTAACATCTAAATCTTGAACTAAGTTCGTATAGGGTCATGCTTTCCATTAAATGTAATCATCTCTTCTTTTAGCAACACTCTGTAAACATTAGTGAACCCAGGAGACCAGATTATGAAGTTAGGAGAGAGACAGTTCAGTGTCTCTTTTGTTGTAATTGTCATTGCATTGTGCAGCATGTTTTCAATGGAGTCAGGACTTTAGTCAGTCCAGTTTCTCAGCAGGACTCTTCTCCTACAGAGCCATGCTGTTGTAATCCCTGTTGTCAGAATGTGGTTTGTCATTGTCTTGCTGAAATATGAAGGTCTTCCCTGAAAAAAAGTCTTTGGATGTCAGCAGATGTTGCTCCTAAACCTGTAGATCTTGTTCAGCATTAATGGAGCCTCCACAGATGTGGAAGATACCCATTACATGGTCTTTGATGACCCCCATACCATCAGGGATGCTTGTTTTGAACTGGGAGCTGATAACAAGCTAAGTGGTCCATCTCCTGTTTAGAGCTTGGTTCCCAGGATCTATGAGGTCATAAAACTGTATGATTTTGATCCTTCCACTTACCTCAGTCCATCTTAAATGGGCTCAGGTCCAGAGAACTCTCTGGTGTTTCTGGATTCTGTCTCTGGTTTCCTCTTTTTTTAGTTCAGTTTTAACCTCATTAGTGGATGCAGTGATGAACTGTATTCACAGTCAATGGTTTTAGAGGTGATTTTGAGTCCATGCAGTGATTTCTACTCCAGAGTCCTGTCTGTTTTTCATGCAGTGCTGTCTAAGGGTCTGGAGATCAGGACCATCCAGTCTTGGTTTTGGTCCTTGTCCCTTTAGTACAGAGATTTCTCCAGATTCTCTGAATCTTTTAATGATATGATGTTCTGTAAATGATGAAATCCACTCATTCTTTCACATTTGACACTCAGGAACATTATTGTAAAAACTGTTGTTCTATTAGCTCACACAGTCTTTCACAGAGTGGTGAACCTCTTCCATTTTGTCCTCTAACAGACTCAGCCTCTCTAAATGTCCTTTTTATACTCAGTCATGTTACTCACCTGTTGGAAATTCACTTCATTAGTTAACCTCCATTGGCTTTTTTTTTTTAAAGATTACACAACTTTTCACCAGTTTGTTGTCCCCAAACCAATGTAAATATGAATTTATATTTTTCATAGAAAAATTTTTTTTTGAAACCATACGTTAAGGTGTTTTTTTGTTTTTTTTTTGCAGTTCGGCAGCATTACAAATGTTTGAGAATTGAGAAAAAAGTTGTGACTCGATATTTTATCTAAATGATTTATTAGCTCTTAGCCAGCTCAGTCACAGCAACTTTTCTGTAAATCATTGCAAGCAAAACTGTGTATAAGAAAGTTAACATGTTAAAAACAACATGCTACATATTGAAATAAATATGTCAAATATGTGAGTTCATGTCAGTGTTGATCATCAGTCTTCTTCTGGTGATGTGAGCAGGTCATAGGAGCCCCAGCAGGAGGAAAACTCGGTTGACTAATATTGAGTTAACCAGTCCAACAGCTGTGTATGTGGCAAACTTTGAAGGCACTTCAATCTCTCTTCTCCTCCGTGCACTGTCGTCACTTCGTGGCACTCTGTACCACAAGTACAACACCCACAGGCTCAATGTTTTTACAACCTGCCGAGTTCCCACTAGTGCTACAGCTCCCAGGAGGGAGCGTGCAGAGCCTCGTGCCAGACTACCTGCTGTCAGTGCAGGCAGGGGTACAGGTAACTCCCCCTGGGGCTCAAAAGTCTGTCCCAGCTGCTGGTTCGTCCAGTATCCAATCGAACAGCCGGCACCCACTCCAAGGATGGTGGTGGTGTCCCCCCGCGTGGTGCTGTAGTGGTCCAGCTCTGGGTATGTGTAGCTGAGGAAGAGCGGCAGCAGCAACGCCACGACAGGGGAGACGGGACTGGTGAGCTGGAAGCGGTCGAAGGTTTCCCAGTGAGGGTAGGTGATGAACGTGAGGACGAATGAAATCAGAGCACCACAGAGTACATCCTGCAGGCAAAAAAACAACAAGAATTGACAGAGGAAGCTGTGAGATTAAATATTTAATAAATTAAAATAATTATTATAAGTCAAATACTTGCTTATACTGTACAGGTGCGGCCTAAATGAGAACAGGAGTGCAGTTTAATTTTTTTTTTTTTTTCCTTGAGGATCAGTGAAATATTTTTTCTTGTCGAGTAACATTTTGTGTGGTTGACCCTCAGGGCCGCTGTAGCATGGAGACTAAAGGTGTCTTTTGTGACGGGCTTCAACTGCATCAGTAAACAGTCAGCAGACATGTTTGCTTCTGTCACTCACTGACAGGTCCTGGCAGAAAACAGCTGCAGAGACGATGGTGCATTGATTTGTGCACTGCAAAATTACAGGGGAATTTAAACATGAGGGTTTGTCGAAATTTTATATCAAGGATTTAGGACACCAGCCTGAAACTGGGACAATCTAGGAAAAACTGGGATGGCTGGTGTCCAAATGTTATTGATATTCACTGGACAGAGATACTGGTGAGCTTTCAACATTTTATTTGTTGTCTATGTACTATTTTCAATCAAAGACAGACTTAAATCATTTGAAAGCCATTAAAATCAGTTTTTCATCGGTGTTTCACAACATTTTTGGAGTTAAGCTTGTAAGTAACCAAAAAAAGTGGCACTAATATTTTCAAATAAAACAATGACAACAGGAAGTGAACTCTGAATGAAGATTTGATCCAAGGCTCTTGATGCAGACAGTTAACCAGACACAGTCATAAATTATGGATTCAGTGTTGGGCCTGAATGTTTAATGCTGTAATTGGTGTGTGTGTGTGTGGTGAAGGCGTATCTCACCAAAACTGAGTGCATGCCGGTGTAGAGGCGGCTCAGACACACCAAGGAGGACAGCGTCACAGCTATGAGCAGACCCACCTCAAACTGGAACTGCAAAACAGACAAACCACACAACTGTATCGGTGACCATCAGGATGATGTGGATAACTGACAGACTGCGACACTAACAGCTGATCCCTGATCAGGTCGAAACGAGATAAATCTGTCAGAGCACAACTTTGTGTGTCACATGTGCTTTAAATTCCTCACATACCTGCATAAAAACACAAAAGCCTTTGACTTTCAGGCCCACTTTGAGCTTCCTTCTTTTCTTGTTAGTGTGGTCATTGCTTCCATTCGTCAATCCTCTTGAGTCGTACGACTCCTCTCGCCGCCACTTCTCCATTCGGCTGCATTGACGTACAGCCTAACATCAAGTCACTGCTTCTTTTGTCCCTCTACTGTCCCTGCTTTACCTACGGCGGCAGGTTTTGTTCCCCCCATTTCAATAACAGAGAGAAGAGAGACCGTGTGTATTCATTCACCTCCTCCTTTCTCCCCTCCTCTCCTCCTCTCTTGCCTTTTTTCCTGTGTCTTTTCCTGTCCTTTGCAGCTGGAAGCCTATTCAGTGGTAGTTCATGAAGAGAGGGGTTATTTTGAATGGTCACAAAGGATGGCGGGGACAGGAGGGGGGTCACTCTGTGATTGACTGTCATGACCTCTGACCTACTCCGGGAACTGGCCGAGTTGCCCGGGGCCTTGCCGCTATTCAGGAGCCTCTGAAACAGCCGGAGAGGCCACTCATTTAAAACTATGTGTGCTCTTTTCTTTCAGGGGAATCCTTGAGGAATGCCAAGCAGCTGAGTCCTTTACTGTACAGGAAGTGTCTCAAAGTTGTTGAGATGATTTCTGTGGTTCTGAAAACACCACTTTAAAGGATGTGATGTGACAGCCAAGAGGCAATGAGGCCGTAAACTACTCACTGCTCCCTCAGTTTTTCTCTAAAACTCAGCGGCACATTAAGACAGCCCTGTGATTGAGCCGCTGAGTGTTTTATTGACTTGGCAGTGGAGTGTCAGAGCTTTAAAGTCAGGAGGAGGAGGAGGGAGGTGGGGATGTGGACTGACAGTCATTGACTTGGTTGAGTCAATCAGAAGACCAAACAGCAGCTCGGCGGGTGTGGCTGATGGTGACTGATGGTGACTGCTGGCCCCGCCCCTCCCTGCCCATTGTCCAACAGTTCAGTCAGGACTCAGTGACGGACAGCTGGGCCACTCCCTTCATCCCACTTAGAGACTTGTGGACTGGCTGCCATCCCATCAGCACCTAAAATTGTACTGGATTCAACTTTAAGGCCACTTTAACACAAGCTTTTAGCACCTGAACGTTTCCTGATATAATCCAGGTGGGCGGCAAACAGAAAATCAGCCCAGCCTGACTTCTTTTCAGTCACCCTTAAAGAAGACTGTGTGACTTTGGGTTGACAGGTGAGGAAATTCCATTTACCACATTAGTTGATCCTAACGCCCCCTACAGATTCAAATATCAAAAGAGGTGTTTTGCTCCTATCTGCCTCCTCCCCAGATCCTCCTTTTTCTGCTGTTGTCTGATTGTCACTGATGCCTGCTCTGTTCAGTATCCCTGGATGTCTTTGCTGCTGCTCTCCCTGCCTTGGCTTTTCTTGTATGCATATGAAACAGAAGGTTGGTGTTCTGGGTTGGCTTTGGCAGGGGAAGGGCAGGGAGCTCTTGGAACAGAGTCATGATGCCCAATATGCCTCATCGCTTGAACATCACAAGTTCTTTTTTGCAAAAGTGATCCTTATTTAGCTGCGATTGGACCATTTTTGACCAGTGCTAAAACAGAGAAGCCTGACTTCATGCATACAGCCTCTGATAAGTTGACAGATCATTGCAAAGTTGGCATCCTTCCATTAGTACAGTCAGCTAATAACAGAAATCACACTATATCATTAAAATGAAAACGTATATAGATTGGTGTATTCTGTCTGCACTTCACCAACCTTTGAATGATCCATACAATTTAATACTACTTTAACAGGACTGCTAATGAGATACCCTGGGCTATAATTACACATCAACCTCCGCTTGGTCTTGGCTTCCTTCCTCTAATGAGGTTTAAGTACATCATTAACAGTCAACATTGGCAGCAGCATCGTTTTTCAGTGTCATATTTCATTGTTAATATCATCTCTATGTAGACTGGTGCTGCACTCATTTGTCAGTTTTCTCTGCGTATTGCAGTTCAATTTTAGCCAGACAATTTTGGGTTTATTTCTGCGGTGGTGAAAGAGCCACAGGGCTGTACAACAAAACATTTTTAAAATCACTTCTAATCATCATAGTTTAAGTCACATGTGAATTTCTATAATTTTGAGTTTACGGCCGTTTTTAAGTCAGTATTAAGTATATGAAACAGTTCTTATAGGTGTATGTGGGATCAACGTGATTGCTCACTTGAGTCCAGGGATTCGTGGTTAATGTTACAACATCTGCACTTTTCAGGAATTCCAGTTTAGTTACGTTTAATTTCATTTTGGTTTGAAAGGAAAAGAAAGTGGAAAACTGGAGTCATTTGGATTATTCCTCTGGGCACCATGAATGTCATGCCATAATTCCAAACATAATGCGAGCTTTGTTTATCTACTTTTGGAGGTAGCTACAGCATTTCAAACTTCTCAAAACAAACTGGATGTTCAGGGAAACCTCTGTCTGGGTTTCAGATTAGCTTTGGTGTCAAGTGTTGATATGTCACGTGTTCATTTTCTTTTTTAGCTGAAGCATTGACCTGTTTGGTGCTGAGCTATGCTGGTGACTGAGGTTTGTAGAAAAAAACCCTATTTTTTTCCCTACAATATCTGTCATAGTATCAAATTATTTGTAACCAAGTCCTGGTCTACTGTTCTTTCACCACAGCTGTCAGTGGTTCTCACCTGTATCCTGGAGGGAGCGCTGAGTAAAAGTGTGAATGAGATGGCGGTGGCAGCCATGGCGTGGGTGGAGGGGAGCCCGTATTCGGCATCGACTCTTGTCTCTAGCTTGACCACAGGAGGAGAGAGAGGACGAGGCAGCTTCAGTATGTCCTTCATCACCTGGCCCACGTACATCACCACCTGAAAGAGTATTGTTGTTAGCATTGATCATGGTGCACTAACTCATTTGGGTTTGGGGTTGTACATTCATGATGCTTGGTATCTTTCAGGTGACGTGCAGGAAACATGAGGTAAGATGATGATAAAATGGTAAGTAAGGAGGCAAAAATCCTGATTATACTTGGCTCTTAAAGCAGACACATTTTGGTTAAATAAGTAATCAGCATCTCCTTAAATGAGGAGGAAACTGTGAGTAAAAAAAGGGGACCCACCCTGGAACAAAGTGCAGATGCTGCAGGAAACAAAATCTATTGCATGAGGGAGGGGGGTTTGCTGACGCAGCGTCTTCAGCTGACTGGGTCAGACAGAGGGCTCCTGACACAATGATACACTCGGTGCAAGGTGTGTGTGTGGGCGTGGTGGAGGTATATGTGTGTGTGTGTGTGTTTGTATGTGAGCTTCCTGCCAAATGTGCTGCCTATTCTCCTTCCTGAGATCCCCAGCGGCTGGAAGAGGGGCGGCCTGCTCCAGCTCCAGGTTTATTTAAAGCTCTGCCTTGTATATTTAATGAATGGCTGTCTTAGCGCAGAGCGGGGAGGCAGGGTGCCGAGAGTGAGCAGGACACTAATTTGTGTGTTTAAGGCAGAGAATAGAGAGGTTGTTATTACCGTCTCCACTGACACTGTAATCAAGAGGTGCTAGTTACCATGGCGAATGAGATATAACCGTACATCTCCTGACCGTGCGTGCTAATTTGTAGCGACAGATAGTGAGATGCAGATAAAGATAAAGAAAGAGAGAGGGAAAATGACACGATGAGTCAGAGAGTCAGGAAAAGAGCTGGCTTGGTTCCCTAAAAATACACCTGACAGGACGTCTAAAACAGATGCCTCGTTCTTCCATGTTTGAGCTCAGCTGCTGCTCTTTTGCTCCTCTCCAGTTGCTATTAAAAACGGGTGCGTGTCAAAGCCACCATCACTGAGAGCATCACACTGGAGCAGTAATAAAACAGATGTTTTAGCTGTTGACAGCAAGTGCTTGTGTTGCTTGCCAATGTTAGCATCCTCCTGTTTCAGTTGTGACTGCGGAGCTCAATATAACACTTTCTCTCTCGATCTGTGCTGTTTCCACTCTCTCAGACTGAACAGTGAAGTGGACAATGAGCAGAGGACAGGAAAATGGTGCAGTTATTTTGCATCTATTCACTTTACAATAAGCTATTCTGTGGGAGCACCGTCCCTCTGCTCTCACACAATGAATCTGCCAGTTCACCAGCATGCATGTTATGATACCCTCACCTCGCCCCCCGCGCTCACCATCAACACAAACATATTCATCTGGCTGCAGTAAAACCACAGAGTCTTTGTTGTCTCTGTTTGAGCCTCATTAAAGAAGAGATGTGGAGATACAGGTGGACTGATGGGCCTGAGAGTGTGTTTTCTCCTGAATCGGTGCATTGATTGAGGCGAGTGCCGCTTTGGACTTTGATCTGTCAACATGTGGATCAGAGTCGGGGTGTGTGAGGAGCGACAGGAGGCCAGTGTTTGTCTGAAAACACACACGATGTTTGTTTCATTGCTTCAAATGAACAGAACTTCCTTTTGAAAGCCACTCACCAACAATGTGGACAATAAACTTCACTTAGAGAGTAAAATCTAGTGACATAAAGCAGTAAAATAACCCACATTTTACAGTATAACGATTACAACCTGTTGCAACTTCATGTTTCTCATAAACATGTTTCTCAAATCTCATAAAGGCCTTGAAATGGAGGTTGGTTTGCACGATAGGAAATCAGGAAGTCCTGCTTTTTTCCTATATCATGACTGTGGAGCTTATCTACTCAGCATGGTTTTTCTTTTTACTCAGATGACCTCTGCAATGCAGCTGAAGCTCTTATGGGTCTATTTAAGAGGAGATACTCAGCCTTTACTCATCTTTAGCTGCAGGACAATCTTCTCAAAATGTGTTGACACACCTTCCCTCTCTATCATGTGTATACACAAATTGCCAAGGCATGGAAAGCAGCAGCAAAGTCAGCAAACAGCGTGGGTATCAGTGACAAAAGGAGGAGCTGGGGTGGAGGCAGGTTGCAGAATGGTTTGCAGAGGAAGCAGGGAAATTAGGTGGGATAAAGCAACTTAAACAGAGCGCTCATTTTCATATTTGTGCCGAGCTGTCAGCTGATATGAGAGCTTGACTTGTTGACTTCAATTTAACCCAAACAGAATAGAGTGGACCATCTTGGATTTATGGTGCATGTGCAACCGAATCCTCTGAATCCCTAAATCCTCTGTTTCAACTCCACCTTAGATGGCAGTTTCCCAGAACCTCCATTTTCAGCAACTGGAACTTGGTTTGTTTGGGGTTGAGGAACAAAACTATGGAGTGAAGCCTGTAAGCTAGTTCAGGCAGACAGTATAAGCTGCACTAATTCCACGCTCACTCAACATGTCCTCTTAAAGGGATATCCCAGTCGATCACTGAGTGCAGTGGGGTTTCGCAGCTCAAGGAAGAACATTTACGATTATTACTTCATGGAAATGCAATCAGACCTGAGACGATAAGGTCTGATTGCAGTACAAAATGATTAGTATGAGGATTATTACTTCATGGATATGATCCGCTGCACTTGGTGATGATCGACTCTTTCGGGCTCCCCCCACAAACAAGCTGCTGCTGGAAGAGAGTGGGTGAGTTGTGTTTATTCTCTTTGCTAAAGATACCAGGCAAAGCTAAAAAGATGTTTGGTGGCTAGCACTATGGCTGTGACCCTATATGTACTGTTGATGAAGTTAGGTGCTGTTCTGAGCATTATTTCTGGCTAGAGTGGCTTTTTGGTTGAGGTTTGTGCATGGAGACATAAACTGCTGTGTATTGCTATTGTGCGGTCATTACTAAAGTTGGTATAACTAGAGAAGCAAGCAGTCTGCAATATTCATCTCTCAAGGGGGTGTCTAACTTAGTGTCACGGTGTGTTTGACCCCAACTTAAATTTATGCCGGAATATCCCTTTACCGTGGTGCTGGATTTCAGCTCAGTTTTAGTCTGAATGAGGTGCACATTATTAAGGTTTGTTAGTTTGACTAATGTCTTCAATGTTTATGTATATTTTAAGAGTCTTATTCAGTCAGACTAACAACATCCTGGCTAAGATAAATCCAGGACTCTAGAGGTTACGTAACCACAACTGTTTGGTTCTGTGGGAACAAAGTTGTTTCTTTTTCTTGGATACAATGCTAACCTGATGTCATTAATTGAAACATTTCATGCAGTTTCCCTCTCAGCATTCTTCGTTATTCATGTCACAGCGTACGTCCTGCATGTCATTAAGTACAAGAACATCAGGGATCTTTATATATCCCCGCAGCACATGATTTGCATAACACTATGCTACAAGAACCCTGTACAACCCTGTTAGTAATTCATGACCATATGGTTAACGAAAGTTGTTCTCGAAGTCAACCAAAGTCACCCTTCAAAGTAAAAGCAGCAGAGAGTTAAGAGCACAATGGGACATGTGTGCGGTGTGTGTGCAGTGTGTGTGTGTGCATCTCTGGCATTGATTTGCACCGTCTTTTCTCATGCACATAGTATTACTTTGCATGGATGCACTTCAGTCCTGATGCCAGTTTTGCATGTGAGAGAGAAAGAGGAGAACGGGTGCACATCTATGCATGAACCTCAGATAACTCCGCCTGCACAATGGCAGGGAGCTGTTAGAAGTGGGGTGAAGCCCCCCGAGGGCTGACAGACCAAATGTTGGGTCCAAAGAGAGATAAAGCTCAGGGCGTTGATGAGGCCAATAAAACACTCTGCTGGTGAACCGGGGGAGTGGAGCTGGTAATGTCTAACTAGAGGGAGGGCAATGAGTGTGCTAGGGAATGAGAGTGTGTGTGTGTGTGTGTGTGTGTGTGTGTGTGTGTGTGTGTGTGTGTGTGTGTGTGTGTGTGTGTGTGTGTGTGTGTGTGTGTGTGTGTGTGTGAGTTGGTATTTATATGTGTTTGAGGAGTTCATACAGGGGCCTGGTGCAGCCAGGATGCCAGAAGAATGGTATCTAACGCCTTAGGGGTTATAACCAGGGGTTCAGACTCAGGGCGCACACCAAGCACTGGGGCAGGGACACAAAAGGGCACAAAAACACACACACGCACACTCTCTTTGGGGTGTGTGGATGTCTGTGTCTCATCCCCTCTGGGATCCCATTTGACATGTTTTCAGGGTCTCTTGTCCTAGTGTGCTGGACCCCATCAGAGTTAACATCTAAAGGGAGATCTTAGCCCCACTGATGAGTCCTCATGTGTGGCCCCTCACCACCTCAGAGGCCGGCCCTGCTGGCCCCCCATGCCCGGGGATATATGGACATGCTGGTGTCAGAGACAGGTCACGGATGAAAGGGGGTTGAAAGGTGACGAGGGGCAAAGAAGAGATGTGTCATTGTGAAGCTGATGAACATCTGACTGAAATCTTTCATTTGTGGTGGTCTTATTGATATGAACACACACTTCCTCTCTCTAGGTGTGACTTACAGCCCACATGTTGACAAGGCGTCTGCACAGGAAAGGGTCCAAGCTCCAGTGTATGCACGGCAGGCAGGTAATGTAGAAGATTTCATGCCCCAGGCCTGCAGAGATCAGGAAGAGGACGTGCAGTAGCCAGTTCCTCACTTCATACTGAGGCCGGCTGCAGCCCTGTAGAGAATAAGTACAGAACGATGTCAATGTAGATGTTCTTCCTGAGTAAAACTAGAAGTCAGATCAATTATACTCATGTCGCTGGGACACTCTGACCTAATTTGACCTCTTTTTCAAGGGTTGACCCAGAACACTGGACTAGGGGTAGGAAAAACAACCCCAGGAGACCAAAATCCTTTCAACCTCAACTTCAATGGTCTTAAAATAAAACTATTGATATCGTGGTACCATAAAACAGAGAAGGGATAAAGAAGAAGCAGCAGCTGCCAGTGAGCTAGTTGTGGTAGTCTTTTGAGAAATTATTAGACACTTTTGAAACTTGACAAAGATTTTTTTTATGAATTCAAAAACTGCCTTATAGCTTTTGCCTCTTCATCTCAATAATCAACTGAACATTCACACTTTCTAACCTATTTTATTCTCTGCACTGTCGCAAAATACAAAATACAATAATATTGAGATCTCATGTCAATATCTGCATATTTCAAAATGTTCCACTCAACTTTACTGAGGAGCTTCGATATGTCAGTAATTTTTGCAGTATTTGACCTGGAGGATCTACACATTTCCAAATTGTGAAGCCGTCAGTGACAGCGAAGGACTGACAAGTAGGTGTCAACTTCTTTTTGGTTGTTTGCTTGTCGTAAACCAGACTAAATAAACTGTTTTCCAGAGAGAAAGGAGGCAGACAAGTATGTAAACATCCCTCACAGTCAATCCTAGTGCAGATGAAGATCTAGTGATGACAGAGTCAGCCTGACAAACAAGAAAAGCCAGTCAGCATTTGGTTTGCATAGCTGTTAAATAAATTCAACCGTTTATTCAAGCAGCTTCTCTGCTAAAATAAAAGTTTTATAACTTGGACTCCATTGCAAAGCACCAAATTTGCATGTACAAACACAGTTTTTGCACCAGAAATCAAACTGTCGGTTTATCTCTTGAATGTTAGTCATCAGCTTTGAAGGAACCAGCTGCAGACAGGTGAGATTTTAGTTCCTGCTTCTGTTCAAAGTGGTTAAAATGATGAAAACACCGGATTATAAAAGTGTACTGACTTACAGCAACAGCGTGTCCATTCTCCTTGCTTGTATAATTGGAATTCTTATCCTGGTGGTTCCATCGTCTGCCCACCTGCGCACGTGCTTCAGGGGTCCCAGTGTGAGCGCCCGTGCTACCTCTACTGTGATTCGTGGCTTCGACCAGGAAGAGTCCGCATCGTCTCTGGAACCGGGCCACGAGCTCCGAATCGTGCAGGTAAGTAAGGAGCTCAAGCATTTCAGGTGGGAGAGCCACACGGGTATGGTGGTAGCAGAAACGGGATGCTGTGTGTATGTGTGTTTGTCCGAGGTGACGGAAGTCGAAATAAGGGCGGTGAGGCGTAGAGGTCCGTGCAGGTGCGACAGCTGTGAGCGACAGGTGTGCGCAGAGGGGCGGTGCTTGAGGAGAGCGGTTGTCTTGAGGAGTACCGGGTGTGTTCGACCTTTGGACTGGAAATGTTCGGCTAGCAGAGGAGAGATTTATTACTTGTCCATGTTAGCAGGGGTTTGGCTGAGCTCATATAGATTTACATACTTACAGATGTATAGGTGTAACAGAGCCATACAGGTGCCTCCATCATTCAATCTGATTGTCGTACACAAAACCATAGGAGTGTTTTTTGTGCCAGTGAGGATCAATATACCAATTGGAAGTCCAGGGCCTCTTCTTCCTCTATTTCCTTATCTGTGTTGATTAATGTTCATTTTTAATGAATTGTGTATATTTCAAATTCAATGTTTCTCACTATGTGTTATCAGCTTTTCATTTATCAACACTCTGTAAACTTTATTGAGCCCAGGAGATCAGATTCTGGAGCTTTTAAAAGTAAAATGTCCCATTCTTGCCTGATAGAGGTTATCAGCTGACCAACAGTTCAGGGTCTCTTTGTGCTGTTGTAACATGTGCAGAGTGTAGTTGGTCTTGTTAAACTAAAATATGAAAAGTCAGAGACTATGATTCCCAAAAAGAATGTCAGATTTTGATTTGTTAGTCTAGGATGATTTCCCACTTCCCCTCAGTCCAGAGAGGTTGCTGAATTTTTAGGATGCTGTTCACATATGGCTTCATATGGTTGTTACAGTATAGCAGTGTTGATGATTACTGTTTTGTTTATTAATATAATTATAACATTGTGAGTTCATGGTGGTCCTTTAAGTTGAATACTTTGTGTCATAAAGTTAAGGAGAGACAAAGAAGGAACTTTTAAAAGCGGACATTCTCAGAGGATGTTGTGACCATGATTTCCAAAAAGAATGTTGAACCGATTGATCAGATCACAGGAAAGTTTTACAGTTCTGCTCAGTCCAGAGAAGTCTTGGTTTCCCTCTTAACATGCTCCAGCACTAGTGGAAGCAGTGATGACCTCTGCTTTTTGGGAGTGGTTAGAGCCCATGTGGTGATTCCCACTGTGGCATCATGTCTGGTTTTAATGCAGTGCTGTCTGAGGAGCTGAAAATTACAACAATTCCAAACTGAAATTGGGATCTACCTTTTCTTTACTCTGCTTAACTGTGATGACAAAATAAATTAAGGTGTTTTTGGTATCCTATAAATTCATGTCATTATTTACTTCATTAGTTTAAGAAAAGGCAGCAAAGCATGTGACCAATCTATTATTTTCTTGATCACCAGAAAGGTATACCATTGATCACATAAACAAACAAAACTTTAATTTTTAAACTTTTTTGAGGCAGATATTGAGTAGTCAACTGCTAAAGCTTGAAACAAGCAGCCACCAAAAACAGCTCTTCCAATCAGGTAATTTCAGGACTAATATGATTTTGTATGATTAGTTGTTTTCAGTTGTACAACTTGAAACACTGAACTTTGTCTCCTATCTTACATCAGCCTGAAAAAACTTTCAACAGGAGAGTCAAATGATCGATATTAAATCATATGACTTCTATTATTATATCACAAAAATCCCTCAAAACAAAGTTTCTGTGTTTTTAAATATCTGCAATGACAGCATTATTCACCCTGTGGAAATTTTAAGGGGTCATGTGCAGATTTTGAGTAAACATACTTTTGATCTGAGACCGATTGGTGACAATTTGGAATTTTTTAAAGGCGCCAAACTGTGAGGCCTGGAGCATCCACCCACCACATGATCACATGATCCTGATGTGATTTATTGAAGAAATGCAGAACTTTTTCTTCCTCTGATCCAAATTACTGCAGAATGCAGTCAGCTGTCTCCTCTCAGTTCAGACTGTAATGTAAGACAACCCAAGCCTTTGTTTTATGGGAGCTCATTGTGTCGGGCATATTGTGCGAGTTTGGCTGCAGGTTGTTACAGGAAATAGTGAATACGCCTCCAGTTGACCAATTAGATCATCCTGTGGTCTGGCAGTAAGAGGAACTGAGCATGACAGTAAAAGCTGCTCCCACAGAGCAAGCAGACAACATCAACATCAAAATGAATAAAACATGATAAATATACAAGATGTCCTCTTCGTCGTATTGACCACAGTGGGGGTGGGGGGATATTTTCCTTTTAGAGTACATCAGAGAAAAGGGAGATGTCATATATTAAGGGTCCAGTAACTAAATCTGCCATGTGATGTTGTAAATAACAGAGAATTGTTGTGTTGACAATATCATCCCATAGACTGTATATAGAATGGACGCCGTCTGCCTCCTCACTGGGTGAAGCCACTCCAAGAACAGCACCCTCTGGTGATAGGCTACAGTATAGGTCATAAATCCTGCCGCCTCCAGCAAAGCTCATGGAGCTGTGGACAAACTTTAGAAATTTTTTATACAGAATATACATTTTTTTCTTCCCCCTGGTTGTGATGTTCACATGTAGTTACTGTAAGACTGGTTTATGCTCAAGTCCTCTTTTTTCTGTGCAGCTCCATTTTCAAAAGTTATTAGGGGGTTCATGTTTTCTATGATTAACACCTGATACAGCCAATGGGCGTATGAAGATTGTGTAGCGCACCTGGGAGATACGCTGTTTGAGCCGAGCGTCATCACAGCGACTCTCGGGGACTCTCCAGCCGAATGCGTACAATGCTATTGCAAAAGTGGTGAAGTGTGTACAACTTTACTGTGCAATGTTGGTTTAAGGAAATGGAGAAAAAATGCAGAAATACAGAGAGCTTTTCGGCTTCAAATCCATATACTGGCGGAAGGCGGAACCAAGTTGTTCATAGTATAAACAGTCAATGTATCATCCCCAGAAACATTACAGTAAAGTGTGGTGACTTAGTGTAAAATCCACTCACTTTGTGAGACCAGCACCTTCTCACAAGGCGCTTTTTAATTCCACAGAGAAATTAGCATATTTTCAGAGATTGTCAATTACATGATTAAGGTCATCTGTAATGATTTGAATATTAATTTTGGTAATATCATGTTGTTTCTGTTGTTGGCTCATTATACTATAGACTAAATTAAAAGCTGTAGTCTCTGTCGTACACCTGGTTCAAAACTTTTTGGTATCATCTTCAGTCAAGCGTGTCAAACAGCACCCCGATTATGCATCACCTCATTACCAAAACGTGGTCGGATACACCCTGTTCCACTTTGAATTGGGCACTTTGCCCAGAGCACCCAGGATTGTTTAGACAGGGTCATGCCTCTGTACTGTAGAGGTCCAGTTAAAATCTAAGGCAGCCTATACAGACGTCCTCAAAATGCTGCTCAAATAGATCTTTTATTTCACTCTTTGGCACCTCTCAGGATACATCAGGTGCCCTTTGTGTTTTTCTGCCCTTGTCCCTCAAACAGCCTAAATACGCCACTGAGCCCACACAAATACTCTCTCTCTCCTCTGTCTCTGTCTCTCTCTCTGGAGTCACCACCATTACATCATCTGTTCTCACACAGCCAAGCACCGAATGAGAAGCTTTTTAATATTTAACCGGGATCCCGATCGTTTGGACCGAGCAGACTGTCGGACGCACGCGCTGCTGAGCTGACCGCGGGGGGATTATAATAACAACAACATCAGCCATGTCTGCGGGGGTGATGGCGTTTCAATGAGCGCGGGGGGAGGAGGGGGAGAGGAGGAGAGACGTGCACCGTCATCAGCATCTGTCCGCCAGCTCCCTTTGTGTTCACCGGAGGATGTGAATGGCGAAAGATGACATGGCAGAGGTAGATTTGGCATCAAACGGAGCGGACCCCCCTGGTGAGGCCTCCTCGGCGTTCCCCTACGAGGAGTACGAGTGTAAAATCTGCTACAACTACTTCGACCTTGACCGCCGGGCTCCAAAGATCCTCGAGTGCCTGCACACGTTTTGTGAGGAGTGCCTGAACACGCTGCACCTCCGGGAGGAGCGGCCATGGCGCATCAGCTGCCCCGTCTGCCGTCACCGGACTCCGGTGCCGGATTATCGGATACAGAACCTGCCCAACAACACCAAGGTGACGGAGGATTTTCCGCTCTACATCGACTCGGACCCCCTGCCTCAGGACGCTTTACCCCCGTACCCTCCTCCCCTGCACCCGGCTCTCGTCGCCCTCCGCCGGGAGGAGGCGTCGGGGACGTCCAGTGCCAGCCAGGCGACCCCGTCTACCACCGTGTCCACAGCCACGACCCTCTCCCAGGACTCGGTGCGCTACGACAGCTGTCAGAGCTGCAAGAGAGTGGCTCTGACCACCGGCTGCGTGTGCGTGATCTTCTCCTTCCTGTCCATGCTGGTGCTGCTGTTCATGGGCCTGATCTTTGTGCACAGTCACAGCATCCCCCCCTCTCCTGCGGGACCCATTTGCTTGTCGGTAGCCAGCATCCTGGCCATGTTCTCGGTGGTCGTCACATGGCTTATCTGTTGGCTCAAATACAGACCGGACCATGAGACAGGCCGCTCCTCTGCCACCAGTAACTCCCGGAGGAACGCCTGACAGGCTGCAGGGCTGGAGCTGCTGGACTGTGCTGTGTGATGTAAATATTACTGACACCTGAATCCTGCTCCCTTTACTTTTCTAGGAACAAACCTTGTCCAGAATGGCCTTTTATCAGGACAGCAAACACCCACCGGCCTTCATGTTTGCAGCAGTTGGCCGACATGATCCTTGATAATCTCTCCTCTCCTTATGCACTTGAATGCACAGCAGGCCCAGCTCACTGAGGAGGAGGCTGTCTTTGGGAGTGAGCTGGTCTCAGACTTGAAGTGGGGTGTTGGTCTGAGCTGAAGTTGGTGTGATGACTGAATGTGAAGTGCTTCTTTTCTGAGGTTTGGTACCCTCTCCACCCTGATAGATAATATGCATATCCCACAATGCCACTCAGTGTATGATATCGGTCCATGATGATTCACTCTTGTATCTCAACAAAGCACTCTTGTATTGTACAGATATTTGGCAATGTTCATCGCTGAGTTTCCAGGTGATGGCTTTTGGTTTTTAGGAGGCGTTTTTGTTTTGTGAGGAGCCTCTGGAGTGTAATTCTGCTACAAAGAAGTCGTACCCACAATCCAAACTGTAAATAATCTACAGGGAAGTTGTGAGTGCTTCTGGAAAGGTGAGATCTAACCCTTGTGCTTTAACTCCTCCTACAGGTTGGCACTGTTTCCTTTTCCACAAAGCTTTACCTTTTTTTCAGGGTTTTTAGAAAAGAGAGCTTTTTGCTTTTGACCCTGGTTTTACTTTGTTCGTGCTTGTGAGGCTCCAGGAAAGTCCGACTTTCAGCTTTTACTTTTATCTCAACAAAAGAGATGTGGTGTTTTCTGAGACGCGTCCCTCACTTTGTTGTTGAATGAAGCTAAACTTCACTGTAATCAAAGCAAATCCATGCACAGGTCTCCTGCAGACACCCAGACAGCATCCAGCCAGAGTGTCAGCAGGGACTTCCTCTCTGTGCCACATCACTGACAAGTCAAAAAACAGGGTTTTCCATCAGCAGGAGCTGTCTCCCCTCCCACATTGGCACTTCTTTTTCTGATTTATGAAACTATGGGTCTTTAGATCAGGCTTTGAAAGCAGGTCAGTCGAGATAACTGAGGAAAAGTTTGTCTGATCTCAGCTGAAGTCCAACATCCGCTGCTAGTTCACTCATCTTCTTCTCTCAAAGCCACATGAGGATCTCAAGTATCTGTTTCTTCTTATCAGAGGATATATTTTCTGCTCTTTTGGTTCCTCTGAGATTGTCAGGAGTCATAATTACCGCTGGAAACTCGCAGCGCCGCACAAGCTATGTGGCTGGAAATACCAAGATTTGAAAACAGCAGTATGTGCAGAGGAAAATTGGTCATCCTTGCACTAACAGATTGCAAATATCTATTTTGGCTAAGTTGTACATTTTTGAAAAGTCAGTTTTTATCAAATTTTCAGTCAAACTTTTATGTCAAGTCTGCCTAAAAACAGAAACCTTTCAGAAAAATCTGCGTCAAGTAACAGCTGAAAGTTAAGATACGATCCTCCTTTATTAGTCCCACTAGGGGAAATTCCCTTAAACCAAAAGCAGCTTATTTCTGTGACTGTAAATGTCATTCTGGAGGTACATGCAGTGTCGTTTAATCGTTGCAACAATCTATACACCTATTTATTTTGTGAAGATGGCAAAAAAACAAGTGATGCCTCAGTCATGGTGTAGTTGAAACCCTCGTACTATCAGATATTGATGCATGTGAATTGCACTCCTGGATCCCTGATCTTTCTCCCAGCATTTGTAGAGATTTCAGAGATAATTTGGACACCAAAGTGGTTGAAGCACTTGTTGCCCTTGTTGCACACTTGCAGTGTTTCTACCCCACTGCATAAAAAAAAAAAAAGAAAAAAAAACATTTTAGCTCTCTTCTATCTGAGTCCCATGCTTGCTTCAATCATCCTGCTCAACCTTTTCCCCCACGGTCAGAAGATGCACTTTCACCCTCTTATTTGACACAAGTAACGGGGTCTACCTTTGACTTATGTGAGCATACTGTATTTATTTCAGAGGACCTAGAAGATGTTGTTGGTTTCTATGAGAATCTGTGGTTGTTGTTGAAGTACCAAATGTATTTGCACAGAGAAATGTTCTTTATGTGCTGTTTTACATACATAAACACATTTCAGTAATAAAGGAAACATGACTATCTGTGGCGTTCATGCTCTGTCCTGCAACCAATGATAAGCTAGTATGCCACCCAGGTAAGGTTTGTTTACAGAATTATGCACTTTACCAGGGGCGTGTCTAGACTTATTTGACTGGGATGGCCAGACTGGGACACTGGGTCATACAGAGATAGTGCTCAGAAATTCATACTGCTCATTTACCTTTTCTTCTTACAATATTAACATAAAGCTCCTGTGAGGATTTTCAGTTTGCATTGTATTTGCATTTGCATTTGCAGACTTTGTATTTTCAAAGCTCAAATATGTTGAGATTGAAAAAGAAAAATTGATGCATTAGTCCATGTTAGAGTATTAAAGCCACTTTAAGGAATTTCAAAAATGATTTCAAGACTAAAGTTTTGAGGAAAAAGTCAAATTTTAGTGAATGATAAGCATATTCACAACAAGTGAAAGGGAATAACAGATAGTAATAGAGGGGTGGACAGGGGTCGTACTGCAAATCTGATACGCCACCCAATGAGCCACCAAAAAATTAAATAAGTTAAGCACAACATAAAAAAAAACAAACATTGTCCCTGTCGTTTACTGAATGTATAACTGCCACATTGGCAACAGTAAGAGATTTATCACAAATATTACACTCCAAATGCTTTCATGGATTAACCTGATATGAGTGACATATAAAGAGGTCATCCTTGGTGTTGTTTTTGCTACATAGACTGTTGTCAGGAGGTTTAGACCAATCAGAACCAAGTATTTGATAAAGCCAGGTGATTAGTAAGAAGGCAGGCTAATACAGAAATACAACAGCAGTATTATACTTTAATGATAGCTGAAAAGTAGACAGTGAAGATAAAGCTGGCAGATGCTATTATTTTGTGTGTGAGTGCACACATACCCCGGCCACTCTCATTGGGACACCCAAGCCAATTTATTTGAGGTATGCCCCTGCATATAGCATCATCATCTTATTAGAAAATAAACTTTCAATAACTCAACTACAAAACATGAAATGGGCCATATCTATCTATCTATCTATCTATCTATCTATCTATCTATCTATCTATCTATCTATCTATCTATCTATCTATCTATCTATCTATCTATCTATCTATCTATGTTTAGTTTTATGCACATATCTATAATCATAAGAACTTCCCTGCTGTGCATCACACACTCCCCCTGCTGGAAGATTTAGGCTATTACATGATATTTAAAAAAAATGAAAAAACAACCTCCAATCTTCCCCGATTTCATTCCCTTGTTTCTTTTTTGTATAAACTGCTGGTGGCTGAAACTCATCTTAAAGTCAACGTTTATATCTCTGGAAGGATACAAGATGGTGCCTCATTAATACCAGACTCTGGGATTTCCTGCAAGATTTTTCTTATTCATACAGGGCTCTTTTTTTTTTTTTTTTTTTTTTTTTTTTTAAATCAAGCCATTCAGCGAAGACTTTTCCCCATGTAAGAAAACAGATCAACCCAGTGTTGACCGATCAGCATCTAAACACAGGCCACCGTGGCTACTTGACAGAGAAAGGCGACTTTTCATGTAGTTAAGTAAAAGTTTCACGCCACATAAATTAGGCCAAAGCTCCAGTCCACACAGACTTCCTCTCTTTAATATTCTGAGCTCCATGTAAATAAATCTCTGTTAAATGATGGGCCAGGTTACTGCAGCAGCACAAGGCTAAAGCATACTGTACGTCAGTATTAGCAGTATTTTTCAGTGATGGTTTCTCTGATTGCTGGAAAAGAGTTTGAGGAAAATGTGGGTTTACAGATTAGCCATGACAACAAACATATCCAGACATTTTTGTGTAAGCACGCTGGACTAATGAATTTTAATGCCTTTCCTTCAGCATTTGACTCCGTGAAAGGGTACAGTAGCTCTTTTGACCTTTCATCAGAAATTTCCATTCACTGTTCTCGCGGGACAAAGTGGGACGTTGTCAGTCAACGGGAACAAGAAATACTGCACTACAGCAAAGTAAACATATAGCCTTGCTCGAAACTTTAATTTATTTAATTTATTTTGAATAATCAAGAAATAAAGCCCTACAGGTTTATATAAAAAGTGTTGCCAACTGACATTCGTCATTTGACAAATTTAGCCTTTTGTCACATTGCTCTCCATATATAAGAGCCTAAAAGTTTTAAACTGTTTATTTAACGTCTTTTTATCTGTAGTAGAATTTAATTACGCTAGTTGGTCGTAAATCAACAAAAGACAAATATGGAAAGTGATTCAATTTAAAATATAGGGTAGTTTATGCGTAGTTCAGACTAATGTGTGTTTTAATATTTTAATTGAGTTCTTTTACAACCTTCCTGTTCAGGCCCTATTACATTTTTGAGTAAAAGACTAGTTAAGGCTTTAATTTTTTCCCCCCTAATAGATATCTAGGGGGAAAAACGCTTAATAAAAAGCACATAGCCAAAAAGAAAAAAAAGACAGTCAAGTTTTTTTAATTGAGTGGGTGATAGGATAAGTAGCCTTAACTATTAGTCTTCTGTTTATAACTGTAATTTAATAAGATACATACTTTTGATAGGTTTAAATAATTAACTTTCATTGTTGTTTGATCAGGATATTAAAGCTATTGCTGTCATACCATAATGTAAGCACACTCGTCTACTTTTGCCAGTTAAATGTGAGATTTATCAATTTTACAGAGGCACTATGCAAATGTTGTAGATAACAACATAAAGAAAATAATCGCCTTTACAGATAAATGGCCTATCAGCACAATAAGACAGCCCGTAAATTGGTCTGTTTGCACTCTGTCCACTCTGTTTTGTTACTATCTCCTTACTGTGAAGCATAAATCCGTAATTGGTTATCTAATTTATAATGGCTATGTCCCATTTATCTTTGTATGAATTATTACCATTATAGTGTGAAATGAAAACTAATTGATTGGACAGATCTGTGTTTGTGAATGTCCTCCACGCAAAGCATGCGAGGTCACTAATTTATTTCTCATCAAGCGAGGTTTCTGACTTTGAATTTCATCCCCCGGTAATGGATTGGACACGGAGATTCAGTGTCGCTTTAAAGAGAGGGCCGAGGTATGCATCATGTCTCTCTGTTTTCTATTTGCCCCCCCTGTTTTTCTTTTTTTCTCCAATATCCAATTTCAAATAGATCAGTGACACTCCTAAATCGTCACGTTTGTGTGCGTAAAGACGGGTGGTTTCTTTCTTTAAAGGAATCATTCTGTAAAAGAGAGTAAATATTCACTAAAAGTTGCTGTTAAGACTCAATGCTCAAATTCAGTGATGATCAAACAAACTTCGAAATTTATCAACAGGCTTTTTATTAAAGGTCTGTAAATTGACCTTAATGGAGACTGAAATAATAAACATGCATATCTTTAACCCGATCTGTTTTATTACAAATGTAAAATAAAAAAAAACAAACTCACGTTTCCCATTTTCCTCGTTTAGTCATGATAATAATCTCCTGCGTAAAGACAATCACATCCTCCTCAGCAGGTGAAAGACCCCCTGAAAACCTGCTTATTTTAAACCCAGCGCCCGGTCTTTGTCCTCGTGCGTTTTTGAGTCAGGTCAACATTTGAAGTGCGTTTTTTTCCAAAGCAGCTAAAATAGGTGAATGTTAATTGAAACCTACTTAACCTGTGGGACGTCTCTTCTTTGTGCGTAAATTAGGTGAATGACAGGGACTATGGCGGGGCCCCCTGTTGGGTCCCCGTTATTGCTCCGTAGACCAGAGGTGAGTGGGTTAAGACATGAAAGGGCCGATCAGGTGCTCGGGGGGACATTTTCAGCGTGAGTTTTGCAGGAGTCTCGCAGAGGTTTCGAGGCTTTTATTGCAGCTGATATGTATAGACTCTTAACCCACAACAAACCCTCTGCATCGGACTACTTTTAGGCGTGCGTCTTTCTCATTTTGTCACTATGGATTTCTTAAAAGTGTTCTTAGTTTTGCAAGTGCAACTTAATTTTCTTACAGCAGGTATATTTTGCGAAGTATAGGCTATTTTTACTTGAACTTTAATGAGGCCGGAAACTTTTCAAAAGATTTCTCTCTCCCTCTGTGTGAAAAGGAGAATGTTGCTACAAGGTAAAAGACGCGGAATAATTTCATGGACCAAAGCATGCTGTGACCAGAGTTAGAGTAGATATGACTATGTTGCATATTTTAATGTGACATATTAATGTATATCCTAAATTAACAGTAATGAGGTAATTTATTTATAAGAGATAAGTTTTCACAGGGTAGTCATCATAAAGTCAGCTTGCTGCCACACAGCCGATAAAAAGCTTTTATGTTTTCAGTGATATTTTTCTCAATAACTGGTGTTTAGTGCATTACTTTCAACTAAAGACATCAGAGCAAATGTATTTTTTGGATACTTAGAAAAGTACACAGAAGCAGTCAAATTGCAGAAACGTGCGTGAATATAACCAGTCAATTTCTAACTGTTTAAAGGGGCATACAAAAATTATTCTCGTTGTCTTGAGCAAATCAGTTTTTAGATCATACAGATACTTGTGTGGATGGAGATCGGCAAAGTACTTATGTGTCCAAAAAGGCGGCGTGCGTACTTCAAGTTTTCACACTTTTCTCGTGAGCGACACAAAAATGATGGTGAAGAATAAAGAAGGTTGCCCCTCTCTGGGTTATGGACAGTGGAATTAGACCTTTGTTTTAGTTATTGATAAGGGACTAACAGTAGTGTGACCCACAATACTCACCTCATTCAAGAGTTTTGTAGACCAACCTTGAAAGGAACAACCTCTCGCTCCTGTAACCTTTTAATTTATGCAGCGATGTAATCGATTATTAGACATTTGGGGCTGTACCTACTCTCCCAATAGACTGGCTTTACGGCCGCTCTGGCGTCGCGTCCTGCTGTGGCTCACGTCCCCCTTTAGACTGTTCTCGACTAGCTGCACCGCAGTCTGAAAACCACAATAAATTCCGAGAGGTGCACACACTTTAACACCATTTGTGTCATAAATGAGGCCATGGGGTGGGAACAAATTAGGGGTCGTGTGTGATAGCAGGCATTTAACAGGTTGCAGATGACTTTATGCAGAAGATTATGACCAAATTTGGAACACAGGGATCTTTAACTCTTTTTTTTTTCTTATCAGTTTCTTTCATATGTGTGAAATTTGCAGGTCAGGTCACACATTTCACTTCATGTAGCTTCTGTATTTTCAAAAGAAGCAAAATTGACGCACAAGGCTGGGATTACGCACACTTCAATGTATATGTGCATTCAAATTGTGGAGAAGAACCCCTGACAAATGCAACAAGTTTTTCAGGTTATCAGAGAATTGAAAGGAGAAGCATGACTGTCAAATTGATGACGCCAGTTGTCAATAACGTTAAAATAATGCAGAAATACAATTTGCTATTGAATTTTGGAGTCCAGCATAAAGAAGCCCATACCAAATTTGTTTTGTGATTCAAATGCTCCGAAGTTTTCTTGTCTTTTTATTTTGCGTACTATTTGAGGCTATGCAGTTACACTGGGCTCTAAGTGTTTTGCAAATCTTTCCAAAGAAACTATTAGTATGAGGCCTTTGGCTATTCTCCTACTTTATTAGATTGACCAAACAGTTCTGCCAACAGTCAATGTATAAAGTTGTCTAGATCCATGTGTTACACACGCTCTTCATTTTTTTTCTGTAGTGTGGACACTGGGGGTGATTAATGGGTGGAAATTTGCAAGAAAATACTCGAATCAAGACCGGTGGGGCGGTGCCAAAGTGAGCTGTGAATAGATTAACACAATAACCAAATAATTCAGTCATCTTTTAAAGTGTTGCAAACACTGATTTGTCAAACTTCTTGTTGTTCACACTGTGCCCGCAATGACTCCGCCGTAGCTTTGGCTTTCTTTTAATTGACGCCCCTGTCCCATCCTGGCCGAACTGTGACAGCCTCTCTGATAGGAGGAAAGTTTTCAGTCTAAGCCAATCATCGCCCTCAGCTGCGTACCGGGTGCACCCGCTCGACCAATCAAGAGCAGGATGCGCCGACGGGGAGCGAGAAGAGCTCTGCCACTTTTGACGGTCTGCTCTCACTTTGAACCGGTGTCAACAAACAACAACAATATTTTCGACCCTGCGACGGACGCCATTACTCCCACCTTACACTCTTGTGTGTGAAACTGCGGACACAGAGAGAGATTTACCACTCATTCATGCCCAACAGTCCAAGTCTCTTTTGTTTTGTCGTCACATTTGACTCCTTGGAGGGATAACGGCTGTCCCGGGACCTTGGTGCTGCTCTGTAGACCCTCTCTGAAGTATCCTGAAGGGCTCATAGGGACGGTTTTAGACGGAGTCATCCAGCTGCGGTGTTGGAGCGGCCGCAGCAGCAGCAGCCTCCCCGTCAGGAGGAGGTATCGGTCTCTGGAGAGGTGGTGTGGAGGTATGACGGCATTGGCGGGGTCAATACCCAGGATGATGCGACCCACGCTGGCTCAGAACTATTCCCGTAGTGGGTTTCCACTGGAAGGTACAGCAACATGGGACCGACACGGAGTTTACTGCCGTGGGTGTTCAGGGCGCATGTTTTATTTTGAGTATTAGCAGAGAACATTGTGTAACAAACTTTATCTGAAAAGCGACTTTTTAAAATTAAGACCTTTTAAAATTGACAGTTAATTCTTTTTACGATCTAGCTGCTGTTTTAATCGCTTTACAGTTTTATCTCCCTATTTGCGTCGTAATTCACAATCTTTTACCAACCCTACATATTAACTTTATTGTACTCCACCCTTCAGGCCTATGTTGTAAATGCTAGACTAGATTCACAATATAATTTACTGATCAAAAGTTTCTATTATAATTGAATAACAAACATTTATTTTTATTTGCTGTTTCATGAAAGGCCATTATTTGGTGTTGCATTTAGGTTCAGTTTCACTTGATGTGACCCGGACAGAGTGCACTGAATAACTTTATTGGCATATCCCTCTCATATTTTGATCATATATAGTGTCAACCCCGTTGGGTCAAGGCCGAGTGAACCAGCTCGGAGGGGTTTTCATAAACGGGAGACCCTTGCCTAACCACATCCGGCATAAAATCGTGGAGATGGCCCACCACGGCATCAGGCCGTGCGTCATCTCCCGGCAGCTCCGCGTCTCCCACGGCTGCGTGTCTAAGATCCTGTGCCGGTACCAGGAGACGGGCTCCATCAGACCCGGGGCCATCGGAGGCAGCAAACCCAAGGTATGGCCCAGAAAGAGCACGGTCAAAGAAAGCATTTCTTTTCAATAAAGCACTTCAAAATAAAAGTTTTAAATTATTTATAAAAGCCTGAAATGTTCTGTAAGCAAAATGAGTAACTTTTGTGACTTTTCTGACCCTTGAAGCAGGGGACAACACCAGATGTAGAGAAGAGAATAGAAGAATACAAGCGGGAAAACCCGGGTATGTTTAGCTGGGAGATACGGGATAAATTACTGAAGGATGGGATCTGTGACCGCAACAACGTCCCAACAGGTAAAAAGAGGCACAAATGAATATAATCCCACAAAAAGTAATTAGAGACATTGATTTAATTTACACAGTTTGGCCAAGTGGGCATCATACATCACTTTATGCAGAATCCATCTTGAATAATAATAATAATAATAATAATTCATTTTTCTCTAAAAGTGTTGGAAACTACATATATATTTTAAAATGTGCTTATTTAAAAAACAAATGACTACTTTTCAGGAGTCCTAAAAGCTCTTCGTTCTCTTAAAACTCACTTTTCTTACTTTACAGTGAGCTCCATCAGTCGCATCATGCGGAGTAAATTTGGAGGCAAGGGCGATGAAGAGGACGATGAAGATGAAATCGAGAAGAGAGAGCTGGAGGAGAGCGACCGGAGGGCCAAACACAGCATTGAAGGCATCTTAGGAGACAGATGTGAGTACAGTGCTCCTGCAAGACTGTGGCTGAGGTGTGGAAAAGGGTCAATGGCACTGAAAGATTAGTTAGAGTTGCATCTGCGCACACATGAGGATTTTAGTGGACTCCTGTTGCTTTACTGTGAAGAATACAAGTGTGGTTTGATAAAAACTTATATGAGGCTGTTTTCTACGGATGGCTGATACCGATAAAAAAATAATAATAATAACTTATCAAGATATACCACCCCAGAAAAAGTTTAAGAACTGCATTCAGCTTTCATATATTCAACCTGTTGATTGCATGGATCAGAGTGTTAAAGGTATTGTGCTGCAGAGGTTGAGCATGCTGTAAAGTTGTTGGCTGGGGGTGGAGAGTGTGTGTGCTCCTTTGTTAGAATTCTTTATCGACCATAACTCTCTGGCTAATGTTTTTCCCATGAGGCCATACCGTAAATCAAACAGCAGGTGATGGTTCTGTGCGGGAAAGGAGAGAGAGAGAGAGTGTGTGTGTGTGTGTGTGTGTGTGTGTGTGTGTGTGTGTGTGTGTGTGTGTGTGTGTGTGAGTTCAGCCTTGGTTTAAAAGCATTGTGAATGAACAGTGGTGTAACAGCGAGTCTTGGATGCTGCACAGTTTTATCAATTAAACCTGCGGAGTCCAGCAGCATTGGGACATAACATCCTCCCATCACTTTAGAGTAATTTAGCCACCTGATAAATTATGGAGGCATTTCTCTTGGCCAGCTACTCGTGGGGCTGTTTGTTATTTAGGATATTAGATGCAACATTTTTTTTCCTTAGTGTATTAAATGGCGTAATGGGTGACCTGCACACTCCATTCCATGGAAACACTCTTTTCAAAATCAGAGAAGTAAAATGAACATCCAGAATTCTCCCTTTTTCTAACTTATTTGTGATATAGATTGGGTAAGTTTTCTGCGAATAGGTGATTAATGTATAAAACAGGTTTGTTGTTCATTTACAGAGCAAGAAAATAACCACTTTTACCCTGAAAATGACATATGACGCTTAAGATTGGATGTTCCTTCCATCACTCTTAGATTAATTTCTGTTGTTTATTAGACAGGCAGTAGCTTTATTGGATCTTGAAGTGCTGTTTGGGCTTGATTGCTTTGTACTTATGGCTTTAACAGCCTATTTTACGGTCGTTTGTTATTTTTACCATTGTGTTTACAGTGGAAATTCCTCGTCCGCCCATATCATTTACACCCTCTTAATCACCAGACTACATAAAGGTGACATCTTGTTTTAAACTTTTAGCTGAGCCAAACTGTGGAGAAAATGTATTTGTAATCCCTAACCTAATTTAAGCGATGTATTTTTACAGTTTCTCATCCGTAAAAGTTGATTTTACTTCGCAGTTTATCTCATGGGCTCAGTGTGTGACAGTTTCAGTGAAAGCGGGGAAGGCTAATTCCTGGGAAAACACGGGAGGTGAAGTATTTGTAAACTCTCACACTTGTTTTAACTTTTCAGGTGGTGACTTAAATCATTAAAAAGTGTCTCTGTTCAACATTAAACCAACACGAGACTTTTAAATCTTTATCAGTACATATCCAGTTCCAGGGACTAAACGCCCCCTTATTAGGAGTTGTTCAAATAATTTCCATCTTTTTTATCTAGATTTTTAAAAACAAATAAAGCGGGAAAATATCATCATTACATCCCCAATCTTCCTCTTTTTCTTGATTTTAATAGAAAACTGTAAAAGCAGAGTTAAAGGACTTTGCTTTGAAGAGACAAAATGTCCTCCGGATGAGTTGATCAAACATTTGTTCAACGGTTTCCAACTCCTCACAAAGACGAGCCTCGCGCGCACAACAGGACGCTCGCGGATGAACTTGATAGACAAAGGCGCGAGAGTCTATTTGGGGCTCACGCTTGGGCTGCGCGCGGACAAAAGGCCAGCTTGGAAACAGCTTTGGGCCAAGGCGACCTGTTTATAATTCAGTCAGAGGAGAAAAAAGAAAGAAAGGGGAAAGGAGAGGAGAGCTCCTCCTCAGAAAAGCCCCGACTAAACACACTATGAGGCCGCAATGAAGGATGAATTATTCAGGGAGAGCTCCAGCACGGTTTAGAGGAAGAAAATGGCCGTTTTCACCTACAAAATGTTTCCTTTTGGAGTTGGCTAAAGACGCTCACAGCCATTCAGAGGGACAATCGAGGCCTCTGAAATCCACTCACGTATGGCCTGAGGATGCGTGCTCGCTCCCTAAACCAGAGCAGCACGGGCACACCTACATACACGTACAAATTAACAATATTTAAAATATTACTTAAGTGTCAGTAAGGCATGTTTTTTTTTAAAAAAGTAAACTGATAAATTTATACAAAATATATATAGCTACACAACACTTAAATATACAAACTATTTTAGTATAGCCTACATGTTTAATGTTTTTATTTTGATTTCAACTCGATATTACACTTTATATTAGCACTAGAGGCTACAGTACCTTACACAGATTATTTTACACCTCATATCACAGTTTATAATACCTTTGTGTAAATCCTGCTATTTATACCACATCATTTTATAACTGTGTAGCTCCTTTTTCTCTTTATATAGACTATTAGCTGTATAAGATAAGACGAGTCATACTTATTGATCTCGAATTAGGAGAAATTCTCTCGTTGCATGGCTATGACTCTATACTTACAAAATAAGAACAGAATTTTGTATTTAGAATTTAGATATAAAATAAAAAATACTCTCTGGACACTTAATACACATCAATACATCGGTTGCAAGTGGTTGTTAAAATCGTTCACAGTAGGCTATATTTTCTGCACAGCTGCATATAAACATTAAAAATACGAGCTAAGATCGTGATTTAAATATCCTCATTTTATAAAAACCTGTTAAACTACTTTTATTATTCTGTCTTTACTTCTGTTACTGCAAAACAGATCTCTTTTTGAGGTCCAGTAAAGTTTAATCCTCCAATAAAAAGTTGACTGTGCATCTATGAACAGATTTTTAGAGTGGCGCACATATTATCGACGACGGCACAGTCAGCTTTTTTTTTAGTGATGGGCTAAGAAAAACTTCGACCCAGGATCAGCACTCACTCTTGGGTCTCCGAGTTAAAACTTTACATAAAGTTTGCTCCTTTATTTTTTTATTTAATTATTATTATTTTTTTGTATGTCAGTAAACTTTGAAAAACTCATCTGCTGTCCATCTCTAAATCACTGTCTGATCCAGTGTCTTATAGTGAATTTGAATTGCCGTCTGTCATCACAGTCAGTCACTAAATTGCCCACTATACACAGAGTATCTCTCTGCCCTGGCACACTGACCGTCTATAAGTCTCGATCTATCATTGATTCTTTGATGAGCGGCGCTTTGCCCCCTCCAACATTAATAACGGCCTCTAAATGATGTCGATATTGTGCTATGTCACATTTAATGATGGGAGGGAGTGTATTAAAGGGTGTTTTCAGTGAATGGGGACCAATGTTCTCCCCGGAGAGCCCCGCTCTGGCCCGGAGCGCAGCCTCTCAATTGGGGCCCCGGCCACCCGTCCAGCGTTGCGCACAACTTCGAAAACTCAGCCCACCCCCCTTCACCTCCTCCCTCCTTCTCTTCTTCTTCTTCGCCACTTGCTCCCCAAATCTCTTCAAGCAGATTAAATCGACTCTTTTATTTCATCTCACTTTCATCTCGAGAGCAACACCGCCCCTCTCCCTCTGTTTCCTCCTCTGTGTGTCTCTCAGCCTGCGGCGCACAGCGCGCCGCGTATCTGCGCTGCATCCTCCGGAGCGCACAAAGGCGAATCAGTGCAGAGCCGAAAAGTTTCTCATCACGTTGCATATGAACATTTTGTAGATCAACCGTACTCACATTATTTACAGTTTCTGAAACTTTCAGAGACATATTCCAAAACAGAGAAATAGCAGAAAAGTGTGAATAGAAAAAGAAAAGAAAAACAGTTAAGGTCCACCTTTATTTTTACGAAGCCTGATCTTTTTCATTTGTTGTTTATTGTCAAATTTTAATAGCTACATAAAGCTTTACTGAAGAGTTCAACTTATGAATAAAATACTGTCAAGTTTAGAGCATCATAACTCGGCAGAGTTTTTCACCACCTGTTGGCAGAGGTGAAAGAGGACAAAATATGCTGCTCCAGTAAAAGTACATTTAAAAAAATCAATTCCATTGAAAAAAGAGTTTGAGTTTGAACATTAAATATCTTGTCTTTGTAGTGTATTCAATTGAAAATAGGTTGAAAAGGATTTGCAATCACTGTATTCTGTTTTTATTTACTTTTATCACAATTTCCCAACTTCAATGGAATTGGGCTTTGTATATTGAGAAAAACCTCAAGTCTGCTCCTTTCTAGTTCAAGCAAAAATGACTCAATTTGGAATATATTTTAAATACTAAGTGTTTACCTTCAACCCATGATGTAGAGCGGAGGATGTATTTCCTCTAAATAATGGCTTGAAATACCCTACACATAAGATTTACATTTGGGTTTAATTTAAATCCAAACATTCAATTTAAGCTACAGCGCAGTTTAAATGAAATGTGATGAGATATTTTCACCAAAGATTTGACAAATTCACTTGGTGAAATCTGAGGTTTTTTCAGAGCAGATATCATTGAATTAGCTAGCTGTCAGGGATAATGGAGAGTTTGTCTGTTTGAGGTTCTTTAATCCAGTAACTGATGCTTTGCAAAATGTAAGTGAAGTGATACTATCAACAGAAAATACTGCTGTAAAAGTAGAATTTACGATTTCAAATTAGCACCAAAAAGTACAAATACACAAAAAGCTTCTCAAATACAGTTATGTGAGTAAATAAGTAACTTTCCACCCCCGCCTGTTGATCATTTTTCTGTTTGATTGGCGCTTCCCAACATTTAATGATGATCAAATATCATTATGAAGTTTAAAAAGAAATTAAAATACAGTTTCCTCAGATTCCTCCTGCAGAAGTAAAAGAGTCAACACAGAAAAGAATTCCTGCACAGGAATCCCCTCTTCCCTTTTTAATCAAATATTTTCATATTTGGCTCCAACGTTTGGCCTGCAGGCCTGTGGCTGTGCTCCACCACACAGCCAGCATCAGCGTCATTAACCCTGCAGACAAAGTTAATGATTAAAACAGTCACGGTGTCCCACCTCCTCCCTCCTCCTGCTTCACATTTTCACAGTGTATCTTTGAGAGCCTCCACTTCGTTAGGTGAAATTAGCCAGATAATACAGAGGAGCCTTGTTGAGGGCCGATACATTTCCATTCGGGCTGGCTGGCAGTGTGTGTGTACGTACACACATACTAATACACACAACACACACACACACACATTCCACTCTGCAATGCAAACAGTCAAAGGGATAACTTTATTTGGTGAAAGGGGATCCTGGAAAGGGCTAATTGAATAAGCCCGGGATCTTTGAAAAACCCCTACCATGGTGAGCGCAGTCATCATGTCATAATTAGGTTTATTGAGGCGCATTCCTTCAATCTGCCTCCATTCCCCCGGGCTCATTGTATCCGAGGCCCAGGCCAATGGCCGGGGGACAAAGGGGGAGCTGTGAGCGGACAATACATGAAAGAGCCATAAAGATTTAGCCCTCTTTGTCACAGAAACCCAGGAGGACTTTGTTTGTGTAAATAATACAAATAAAAGAAGAACTGGGGTTTCTCTGCCACTGGAGGTGAAGGACGGCATGCTGCAAGTGTGATATGAGGGCACAGACTGGACCAGGGCCAGAAGAGAGAAGAGGAAAGGAGAAAAGAGGAGAGGATGGAAGAGGAGAAGTTAGGAGAGGAGAGGTGAGGAGATGAGAGGAGAGGAGAGGATGGGAGAGAAGAGGAAAGGAGAGGAGAGACGAGGAGGTGGAGAATTTCTTGAGTGTATTATCTGATGCTGTTTGCAGGAGTCCATCCAGAGGGGGCACCAAATTTGACACAAACTAAAAGTTCTTCAGACGAGCTTTAAAAAAAAAAGTGAAGTTTTCCTAAAAGTGAACAAATGAGTTCAGCTCCAGTAAGGAGGTGTCTACTGTCAAAGCAAAAGGAAATACTTGATCCAAAAGATACCAAAAACCAGCATTTATACCACAAAGTAGACCGGGGGATGAATTCGACCATGTTCTCTGTAGTCTTTGTCCTTATTATGCTCCACAGAATATTTATCTTTACTTTTGGAGTCCAGAGTTCATTGTTTTGTAAACAACATACTCAGCTGCACGTCTTATTTTCAGATGTTGTATCATATGAGGAGCATTGGGCGCGGCTCTACCTGCCACTCAGCAATCATAATGCAAGTGCCTGTTGGACTTTCCTCACTTTCTACATAGAAATATTTCTCCTCACAGTGGATGTGTTAGCCACAGGGCTGTGAATGCTTGGACCTTACTCAGGCACTGGGCTCTGAGATGTTCAGCTCAAATTGTTGCCTCCTGATCAATTAGAAGATGTCCAGGCTGGCTCTGATCCTACATTTGGTATCTCATCGGTCATCCCCGAACCTCTTGAGACAAAAAGTACTTTGGCAATAGTAAAAAAAAAAAAAAGGGTTATTTATGCAGCAGAAGTACAGCGAGTTCTCTTTAATGTGTTTATGACTTTAACGTTTTTAGGCCCATTTTAATGAAGTAAGACAGAGGATGACAGCTACAGATTAGGAGACATTTTATAATTTACCAAATTATCAAAACAACTTGAAGGAATTTTTCCTTTTGTGGACATTCCCTCTTGAACAAATCTGGACATTGTGTGATGTTGGTGATCCTGCCCTTCTCGGTTTCTGCTTCCTTTAAAAAAAAAAAAAAAAGAAAGAAAAAAGAAAAAATTTCTCCACTCATCAAACTCTAAATATATCAACTCAGTCTCTTTGGTCTTAATGCTGCAGGTCCATAATTGGAATACAGTGATGGGGGGATTGTAACTCAATCAATGCTGATGGTCAGTTCTGCTGTTTTAGGAGATACAGGACTATCTTATAACCAGTTGAAGCTCCCTGTGATATGGTTTAATGAAATATCAAGAATATAATCAGCTGGTAGATGTGGTTTGTTGTTTCTCCACAAAGCTGTGGTTTTATCTGATCAGATCTGACAGCAGCTGAACCAATAAGCTCTGGGTGAATCTCATAATAGCTATTGGCTGTTTCTAGTTCGAGCCAAGTGTCTGCTGAAGAGGGCTCTGTGTGTCCACTCAAAGAATGAATGTGTCACTCAGTGAGTCCCTGGGCACGAGGGCAAAGAGGGGCACCGGGGTGCAAGTGGCGAGCTCCAAATCACTCTCCTCTACCCCGGGGCTCTCTCCTCATCTCACACTCCTCCCTCTCTCGCGAGTTTTTTCTAATAAGCCCATGCATGATGACTATTCAAGCATGAAAACATAGTTATCTGCAAATGAATGGCTGCTCTATGCTTCATTAAAGCCTCTTTTTCCTTTCACACTCTTATTGTGACCCTCTGATATCAATTCAAAGGGCAATTAATGAATGCACACCAACTTTGAAGTCAGGGTGATTTCAGGGAGGGGAGGGGGGCTCCAGCATGTGTGTGTGTGTGTAGGTTGAGAAGGGGCAGGGGGTATTTGGGGTATTCCCCCTTCAAGACCCAGCCTTCACCCGTGATGGACTAGCCACATTGAGGCGAGAGCGAGCGAGCCCCAAAAGACGGTTTGAAGGGAGTGAAAGAGTGAAAAGGCCCAGCGAAGGTCAAGTAGAATGGCTCGCCTTAGAATAAGGCCCCTCTTTATCTGCTGCAAGTATGCACTATAGGCACAACAGCTGGGGGAGTTAAGGGGGGAGGAAGGGAAAGAGGGAGGGAGGGGTGAGGTTGTTTTTTAAATGTGCATGAGTGTGTTTGTGTGTGTGTTTCTGAGAAAGTCAGGAAGAATGTGACTGCATGTGTTTTTGCTCTCATGCATCTATCTGTGTTGGTGAGTAGGCTGGTTTCTTGTGTGTATTTGTGTGTGTGATTGTGTGCGTGTGTGTGTGTGTGTGTGTGTGTGTGTGTGTGTGTGTGTGTGTGAGTGATTATATATGTGTGTGTGTGGGTGTGTGCGCGCTGGGGTTAGAGCTGAGTGTCAAAGTTTGCAGAGGCCAGTCAGAGGCCAGTAAATGCACTGTCTCTGTCACTGATGGGGGGACAGGCAGCTGTCAATCACCTGCCTGATGGAGCCTGACATTCATTCACAGCTTTGTTAACTAATTAGCGCAATCGCTTTAGTGTGGTGCCGGGATAAGACGCTTAAACTGTGTGTTTATGCCAGGATATCTTTGCATCTAGCAGAGGCAGGACTGTGGCTTTGATAGATCTGCCTTCGCACTTGATCACATTGATCTTTGAGCTTTACAGCATGAAGCTATGAAAGACAGTGAGCGATAAAAATAATCAACTTTCTTCAGGGTCTCTTGAATGAATGCACAGCCTTGTTGGACATGATCACAGGTGTTTCCTTGTTCAGATAGGAATTCTCTGCCAAACCGAGATTTTCATGGTAATATTTACCATCTGACTGTTCAGGTAGGAAACTCAGACGATGATCCAGCTCACGAATGCAGCATTACCAGGGACATTACAGCAGCTCTGTAATGTCCCTGGTCTCTGGCTCTGATTTGAATGACAATTGTGCTGAAAGACTTAAGGTTGTTGCAGCGGTTGAAATGAACTCTTTTACTTGGTGGCACTGCAACCCTCAATTTCAAAAAGTTAGGAGCTCCAGTTAAATTTGTGGAGTTACACAACTTCAATACACTGCAGCCCCCCTGTCTTTATAGTGAATGTGCTGCATTGTGCCATTTTCAAAACAGAGGCATACAAAGTCTTCAAGCCACTCTCTCAGAAAACTGTGAGCCCTCTTTGCTGTTGGTGCGTCCACATTAACCACAGCAAGTGAGTCAGCCTCTTCAGACAACAAACAACAGAACACAGGGCTTGACAGGATAAAGTGACCAAAGTGCCCAGAGCCAAAAGGAATAGCCGTCCTTGAAAACGAGGAAAAATAAGTAAGATGGAATAAAAATCCCTCAGCGTCCTCATCATCTTCTCCTCAGCTCATCTGATTTTGGGTTAGTTAGTTTGCTCTCTCTCCAGTGACATTGAAGTGTAATTAAAGGGAGTGATTGAGGGTAATATAAAGCAATTATGGATGCATTTGATTGAACTAAGTGGTGGTTGATTATTAATGCCTGCGTCTTTATCTTTGGTAGTTTTGCTCTGATGCCTGATTGAGATAGTGGCTGCTGATATTTTTTCACTCCTTTTATAATAACATAACATTCACCACTGTAGCTTTAATAAACCTTTAAGCTGCCTTTGAGAAAAACAAAACTGTCAAACACGTTTCTTGTCTTGTTAAAAAGAGAAACTGACAGTAAAAAAACCTACCTTGTCAAACTCTAACAAGTCCCCCACTGACTGGAGCTGAGAGTTGAAAGACAGGGAAGGAGTGAAGGGTCACAGAGCTGCAGAGGGTCACTCTCCCCCAGCGCTACACAGGAAACAGGGTTAGAAACACATTTAGCTACAAATGACAGGTAACCACTTCTTCATAGGCCCTTTAAATCCTCTGCAACCACATTTCCCTGACAGTCAAGACACTAAGATGTTTATTGAACAGAAATTGATGGTTTTCAACTCCATCATAAAGTTGAAAATGTAATGCTAAAAAAGACTATTGAGGTGAATTTCCAACAGGTTAGCAAGATGAGTGAGTATAAAAAAAAGAGTCTATCAGAAAGATGGAAGAGGTTCACCACTCTGTGAGGGACTGAGTTAGCTAAAAGGCTAACAGTTTCAGAATAATGTTCCTAAGTGTCAAATGTAAAAGAATGAGTTGACAGCGTTCCAGTAAACAAGTCGGAAAACCAAGATAGATGCCTACTGTTAGCCGTTGTTAACATTTGTCATTAGCCTTGTCAGTTGTTAGCAGTTGTCAGCTGTTGTTAGTTGTTGTTAGCTATACCAGTTGTAAACAACACATAACAGTATTTTACTCTTACAAACACCATAGCACCGTGTTCACAGTTAGACATTGGGCAGTACAACATATACCACTTATTTAATTTCACAAAAACAAAATAGGAGTGCTATTAAATAAAACATTATGAGAGCTTTCACTGTTACTCTCTACCATTGATGCACTGCGCTGCCATCTTGGCTTATGACATTGTTGTCAAGTAGGAGTTGGTGAGGATCGCCTGACTTCCAGGTACAACTAGAACGTATCATAAATCATCGACAGAACATAACATCGTTAAAAAATGTAAAGAATCTGGAGAAATGTCTAAAGGGACAAGGACCAAAACCAAGACTGGATGGTCCTGATAAGTACTGGATTAAAAATAGACAGGACTCTGGAGTGGAAGTAACTGGATTGGACACAGAATTACCTCTTTCTCTTTTTTATTAAACAAAATAATTTTTTAGATTCACTATTTTCACTTAAATGTATCATTTTAAAAAAGTGTGTGAAACAATCAAATGTCTGTTTTTATCCACACCTCTGTCAATACTCACGTTAAGCTTTTCTGCACAGTCACAATCTGACGTTTAGAAACTGGGCGGCACAAACGCGAAGCTCTGCAACATTTACCCGCAGCTGTGGAGGTTCATACTCCTCCTTAGCAAGTCAAGTGAGTTCAGGCTTCAAACTCCTCCTCTAACACACACACACACACACACACACACACACACACACACACACACACACACACACACACACACACACACACACACACACACACACACACATACGTAGATAACACACCATCTTTTTCTCTGAACCCAGCAGAAAGAGCCACAGATGGGTCCATAAGCTGTCAGTAAAGCCATTATCCGGCTCAGCATCTGCCTGTCTTGACTTCTATATACTGTTTAATGCAGTCGGCCAGTCACTTAGTCCCTCAGCTGCTGAATGGGAGCAGCACGGTCGGCCCGCCCAAATAAATGCTGCGTTTGTCTCCTCTGCCTTTTGTTTTGTTTTTTTTGGAGAGGGGTAGGTGGAGTGAATGAGGGGGGCTATGTGTCACAGGCTCAATTTAACCTTCACTATTAACTAAAGCCCCCAGAAGAGTTACTGGGATGTCCAAGGAGGGGTGTAAATAACGCACATATGGTCAGTCAATTCCCCCAAGTCGGTGAAATCCAACTTTGACACATCCCCATTCACTCCCTCTGTGTCTCCGTCGCACGCACACACATGTACTGTCTCATGTCTCTGCGGACATATTTAAGCCTTTATGTCCCCACTCGAACCCCCCTCCCTTTAAAAGAAATCAGCCGATCTTTCGAACAGTCTGTTTTGGAGCTAAATCCTCCATTCTCCTCCTTCCTTGCCTTGTTTTTCTCTCTTCCCTGGGATGGCGTTGCACGGCGGGATCCATTTTGGGGTTTCTTGGCTCTGGAGACGGTTGTTTTGGCTCAGAGTACCGTGCACTGTGAGCCTCTCAGGGGTTTCAGTTTGGTTAAATTAAACAGTTTTCTTTTCTCCTTTGACCCCCTTTCCTCCACCCCCTCCAACTGCTCCTCTCTTATTTTGCGGCTTAATGCTCCTCGGCTCCCGGGCAATCTCGCCATTCCCTCTCCCACTCAGATAAATTTACCCTTTCGAGGCTCTTATTTTCCTCATATTTTGATCGACTGACAAGAGCACCCCCTCGCTCCTCTGGGCTGAGGTGAAGCGAAGTATCCAGGGAGAAGTGAAGTGTTTACCAGTGCTATAAATACAGCATTTTAAGATATAGTATAAGCAGGGATAGATATGGAGGTTAAAGTGGATAATTTGATTGGCTGAGGCTATTTGACAGTGCCAAATCGATGTGATCAGATCTTAAAGATAGCAAGGCGATGACTGCAAAGGGGGCACTCTGAAACCACAGGTTTTTACAAGGTTGGAAAGGATCCGAGGAGCAGGAGGGGGAAAGGTTTCACCCTCTTTTCTCCATATCTTCTCTCCGTCTTTCTCTTCATCTCAGATGTGCTGAGTTTAGACAACTTTGAAAACTTTTGTGTGTTTATTCTCAACAACACTCAAAGTCACGTGACACAGGATATGGGACAGTTAATGGGTGCTGACACTGGGACGCCTCAGGGCTGACAAGCTCAATTAATGTAGCCTGTAAACGCATGTAAGTAAGGATGAGGGGAAACCCGGCGCTGTGTGTTCAAGTCATGTGCTCCGGGTTCAGCTCTCTTTCTATTGATGAGCTCATGAGACAAACTGTTAAAGAGCTGCAGGGGGACTGGATGGATGCACGAGATTGCATCATAAACACTTATTTTACAGCCCATGCATCACCCTGTGAATCCACATCACTGACCATTTCAGTGTGTTTCATAATGGCTGTACCCCCCCTCAGACTTCAAGTTTACAGCAATGACACTATAAGTCAATACGATTTTTAAAAGTACATTTTTCTCACACTAGGATCCAATGTTTTTTTCTGGATCCCTGAAAAAGAAGTTTACAAAAGGTAACATGGATGATATACAGAGCAAGATTATAAAGATAAGCGACAAAACGTGATTCATGTCAGTATGATACAAGACAATGTAATACAATATCACTGGATACCATATAATACAATACAGACTATACAAAATGATAGATTTAAGGTACAACCTGATACAATATGATACAAAAAAGTATGATTAGATACAATCAATATGATGTAATATGATAGGGTGAAGATTGGAAACAGTAGATTCTATACGATAACAGGAGGGGTTAGCATTTCAGTCTAGGAAAAAACAGCTTTGTGTAAATATTCCCATTTCTACTCACTGTACCTTGAACACATGCACACAAAACCCTGGTTTATAAGCAGTTTTAATCACAGCCTGAAAGCATTTATGATAGTCGCCTTAGTCGAATAGGGTCACCTGATGTTTGATTGGCTGCCTTCTCCACATGCATGCACATAAGCAGCCCTCTGTTCTTTTTGTTGGCGGTAACATTATTTTAAAATGTGTGTTAAGTGTTTAGATTGTCTCAAACTGCTGCAGAGAAACTTGCACTCGGATCTGAAGTGTGATTTGTTTTCTTGAATATTTTGCGCAGCTTCGTTGGTGTTAAAAAACCTGATGAAAGAAAAACACGTTTTTGCGATTGAGTAAAAAACGGGGATGGGGAAATGATGAGGAGGGGCATCTTTTGACCCCGACAAGTGTTCATGCCTTGTAAAGGGTCTACAAATGGTGCATGTACTCCTGTTTCTACCAACAAAACAACAACGACAACAGGATTTCAGACAGAGTATCCCCATGGGCACATTTACATCGCTTACTACAGACCGTTACGCTCGCTCTCTGCTGCCCCTCTCACCCCCTCAGGTGCTCTTACAGTTCCCTCTGGAGGATGAGGGTGTATTTTTTCAGGGGGGGAAGGGCTCCAACGCCCCCGGCTGTGCCCCCATATACCCTAACCCCCCCTATCACCCAAAGCCCTCTGCGGAGCCTCTTTATGTCCCCCCTCCAGCTCCCCTGTGGGGCAGGTGACAGCCCTCTGCTGTGAAGGGCCGAGGGAGCCATGACGGATTCCACAGATGGAGCGTGGAAATCGGCGGCAAAGACCTTCAGCTCTGTGGAGCAACAAAGAGCCTGAGAGTCACAGAGAGAAATATGGCTGAAAAAAGAGAGAGAGAGAGAGAGAGAGAGTGATGGGAGACAAAGAGAGGGTGAGAACGAAGAGGGAGGAGAAGGTAGTGCTTGTTTAAGGAGGGTGGAGAAAGTGCAGAAAGTGTAATTGTTCACTTTTCTGCACTTTTTAAAAACTATTAGCATCCGTTTTTGTCACCTGTAAGTCTGATCTATATCATGAGTAACTAACCAAACTAATAACCCAGACTTGATCAGATTGCAGTGACCAGACCCCGGATACTCCAGAGGTGCCACTCTGTCGCTTCTTTTGAAAAGTTCTCCAGACCCTGGTAGCGCTCATAACCAATAGGTAATTCCAAAGTGATTAAGGATTTTCCCGTCCTCCTCGGCTTTCCCAGGGCCCAAATCCCTGTGAAATGCTGAGGAACGTGCATGCTGCTAAAGTCTAAGATGGGGGGAAGAGAAAAAGCATTCCTAGCAGCCCTCCTCCATGCAGGAACTGGAGGGGGAGGCTACAAAAGGCCTCATCTCTTGTTTTCCAGCCATCCTGTCCAAAACTCCAAAGCCGCCACAACTCCACACCCCGAATTCCTCCTTCTCCAAGCCAATCCTGCAACCCTTCCATGTTTGTTGTTTGGACAAGAGTGGACCTCAGATTTTAAGGTTGATAAAGGCAGTATTTGTCTGCTTCCGTTTAAGACCACGGCCGCATTTTTTTTTTGCTTTAGTTCCCTAAAAAATGCTGAACACACAGGCTGTTCTCGAGAACGACATATTCAGCAGAAGCTCAAGGCAATGACTCCATTTCTCTCTCTCTCCCCCTTTGAAAATATTTTACTTATTGCCTCCCTCATGCTTGAATGTTTCTTTACCAATTTGCAGCTAATGCATGTTAAGTTGACTCCCACTGCTATTGGTGTTGCAAGGAGAAAATCGCCGAAGGGGCAGAGAGGATCAGTTTCACATGAGGGGCCCTGAGCTATTTGGATTCTCTTGTATTTTATTGTTGCTTCTGAGGGGGAACTAATACAGTGCTGCACACAAAACTTCCCCTGTGCTGAGGGGGAATTAATTAAGTGTAACACAAAAAGTGGGCGCCTTGACCGAGGTGAACCTCAGAAGGGAGCCTGCCGAGTGTTTGAATCAGCGAGTTAAAAACCAAGCTGCTGGTTTATTGACGGTGGTCACAATCGTGTTAATGCTGGTCTGAGACGCAGATGAAGAGACTCAACATGTGTCAGGACTCATATCAGTCTCTGCAGCTCAGCCAGGCTGAACATCACGCCTCATGATCAGTCCAATATCAAAAGACAGAACTTGTGTGTTGGGGTTGTTTAAAGACCAACCAGATAGATGAACAAATAGGAAACTAAACATTATTTACCAGGCTGAGGGGCAGGAAATGCTTCTGCAGCTTTTCTCTGTGTAATACTGTCAGACAGTAGAAAAGTTGTAGTTTTGGACTGTTGGTCTGGCAAACTCCTTCTCAAAATTAGAGAATGTGTGAGACATTTTTTAAAATTTCTGAAGCATTTAACACTTTTTTTACAATTAGATAATGAAAGTATAGGCATGCATGAGATGGACCTTTTGTTACCATCTGATATTTTCAATGTCATTTTGGCCAAAAATGACATTAAAACGGATAAATGCACAAGCCTCCGCCTCGGTCTTTCTTTGCATTTATCCGTTTTAATTTTATCTGTAACCCTCTTTTTTTAAAGTTTAATGTATTTTATCTTTCCTTCTCTCCTCTTTTTTCTCTAACTCTTGATTTTGATTGTTGTACTTTTCTTCTGTTTTTCATCCCAAAGTCTTTTCTGATAGTTTTTTTAACTCTTTCATTCTTTTTCCCTCTCACTCTTTCACACACTTATAATCAGACCACGTTTTGACATTTTCTTGAATGTTGATACTGCAAATATGAATATTTTATCTTTGTAAAATACTGTTATGCAGTGATTGAAGTTTTCTGCACTGCAACAGGTTCATGTATCTTTATGGCTGCTGTGATAATAGTGAGTGGTGTAAATTAGACATAAAAAAACTGAGGAGAAAGAGAGTTTGTGACAAAGATAAACAGATTTGACTTTCAGCAGAACATTTCAGCTTTTATTCTGGTAGCAAACATTAACATACATTACGTACATTACCTGCCATATAGTTGACATTATAGAGTAAAGCACTCACAAAGGCTAACGTACACATCTAGCTGCAAAGGGTTTGAAGAACATCCTATTTTTTACACTCATTTGAATAATGCAAATAATAAAAAAAAGAAATTATAAATAAATTATGATGGTTTATATTTTCATTACTTTGCATTAGGAGAATCTACCAGCTATACATTCACATATATTAAATCCGTATAAATCATTTAAAAGGAGCTCAGGTTTTTTTCAACTACAACAAAAAAGTGATTGTTAGAGTTATATTATATAACGTGATAATGTAGTTAATATCTCTGAAGTGACCTTTAACTTGATTTAAAAAATACAATTTGATGCCTTTGTACTTCGTCTTCATTTTTAATGTGATGTAAAACTTTTTAGGTGTCCTTACTTTTAAAATCGTAGTAATTATTCTGTTGTCCTTTTCACTGTAAAGCCAAAGTTTCTTTTCTCATAATCTTCTCAGACGCTTCATTTACACACTGCAGTAATACGTTTTTTCTCTTTATAAAGAGTTGCCTCTGCCCAAGTCTTCAACAGATCTTCTACATGCATTTCTTTTAGTATATTGACACAGTTTTTTTATGCTCTTTTATAGTTTGGATAGAAAATATCATTTGAAACCACAGGGGGTCATACAGGAAGCTCCTCTGTAACTTATCTTATATGTTAGACATTCTCAGCCAATAGATTTGATGGCTTTAATCCATGTTTCACGCTTCCTTGTACTAACATTTAACCACATCTAACACTGCTGCTTCTTCTGCTTTGACTGCGCTGTTTTAGCTGATACTTCTGATACCACTGCAGCTATTCTCTGAAAACTTTCAGCATGGACAAACAGGCCTTTCAATGCAGTTTCTATAAAAGCAATGCACCTTTTTTTAGTACGTACTGCTTCTGTCCTGAAACCTGTTATGCTCCGTAAAGACTTTGGACTTTGTTATTTCTTGTTACTGGAAATTCAACTTGATTTTAGATGACTGACCTGCAGCCACAGGGCTGAACATTTTGTCTTTTACTCAAGTGACAGCTCACAGCTACCGTCTCCTCACACACGCCATCGTGCCCTCAGAGAATGGCCCCTGGACCAAAATTAGCCTTTTGTGTGGCTTTTAGTCCACCAGTCCCCCTGTGGTGCAGTGGCAATCCAGTCCAGTGGGATTATTCCTCTGGCTCAGGATACTTTTTCTGAATGGAGGTCTGTTGTCCAGATAATCATGAGGAAGGGCGATGCCTGCTGGTGTTTAAGTGTGTGTGGGTGTGTGTAAAGGAGAGAAAAAGACACTTTGTTAAGATGTTGCACAGTAAAAGTTTTATTTTTATCTTATTTTCATCAAAGGTTACTTTGGTGTGTGTTTATGTGAGTTGAGGAAATAAAGATCAATCATATTAGATGCTGACATCAACTTCTGCTTAGTTTAACTTGTAATATTTGGTGGAAATCTCATCCTAATTATTTCCGTATTTTCTCCCCTCTGTGTCAAAACAGCAAGTCACTCTGATGAGGGCTCAGACGTCGAGTCAGAACCTGATCTGCCTCTCAAAAGGAAGCAGCGTCGCAGTCGGACCACCTTCACCGCGGAGCAGCTGGAGGAGCTGGAGCGGGCCTTCGAGAGGACCCACTACCCCGACATCTACACCCGGGAGGAGCTCGCACAGAGGGCCAAACTCACTGAGGCTAGAGTCCAGGTACAGGAGAGCAGATGTGAATAGTGCATCCATCAAAGATATCAAGAATTTCAGGATTTCAGGAACTGTAGAGAGATGGGAACAGATTTGAGCTTGTTAAAACACTGGAATTCATCAGAAGGACTTCTCAAAGGGTTTTACGAGATCAAGAGTTGTAAATTTGATCTTGGCATTAAAGGGAAGTGTGAAATCCTCCAACAGAAGTACAAAATGGAAAATATTTAACACTCTGCTCTCACTTTCACCTCTGCCTGATTTAACACACCTATAAGTACAATATGAACTGTCTTACACTATGGCCATAGACACACAACCTGTAGATCTCTGCCCGCTCCACACGAACACAATCACACCTCTCATCCTCACTCCCAGGGGCACAATCTGGACTTCCCCTGTTTCTGATCCACGGCCCAGTAAATTCTCCTCCACAGGCTCCATATGGGAAGTGTAAGCAGGCCCAGCATGAGCCCCGTCCATATGGACACGGCACGTTACTCACACACTCAGTGCAACCAGCAACAATACACATCACACACATAATTTTTCTAACAATGTCCCCCGCCTTCTTCTTTAGCTCCACACTCTGACAGAGCGCTGTGAGCAGAACTTATTCAATAGGTTGAAAAGCCTTTGTGTTAAACATTCAAACAAAATCTATGTCTTACAGTTACTCTCAGCTTATGTACAACCCTCATTTCAAAATAGCTGTGAGGCTATATAAACAAGAGGAAACCATTGTTAAACACCATCCAGATACACTGGCTACTGTGGTCTGATGAATCAACATTTGACACTCTTTTTGAAAATCATGGACGCTGCAGAGGGACGGCCCTGCCTGTTCTCAGCTCACAGTCTAAAGCCAGGATCATCAAAGTCCATCCAGACAATGACGTTTTCAGAAATGACCTTCATATTTTCAGCAAAACCACATTCTGCAGGGATTACAATAGAATAGCTCTTTTGTAGAAAAGTCCTAACCTGCCTGCAAATGAGATTTTCAAGTGTAACAGTCATCATCAAACATTGTCATTGTTATTCTTACAGGTTTGGTTCAGCAACAGGCGAGCGAGGTGGAGGAAGCAAGCAGGAGCCAATCAGCTGATGGCATTTAATCACCTGATCCCAGGTGGTTTCCCACCTTCAGCAATGTCCAGCATTCCTCCATACCAGCTCTCTGACAGCACCTACCCCCCCTCATCTATAGCACAAGGTAACAGAAATGCAGACTGTGGGGATTTCTGCTTCAGCTCAGGATTGTTTATTTGATGAAACTAGAAAAACAAAATAAAAGTCAGATTCTTTTTAATGTGATTTGATTACAAAACTCATTTGTGGTAATTCAGTAATGACAGACTGAAATGTTATGATCAGCTAATTTTATTAATCAGATTTTGCAAATGCAGTCACTCCAGGTCATTATGTACAATGAACAAATAGGCAATAAATAGTTAGAAATGTGATGTGAGCAATTTGCATGTTTAGAAAAGGGAACAGATAAAGGCCAGGGTCTCCAATCTCTTGCTCCTTAAATGCCAAAATTTTGTCACACAAGCAGAGTGCTTTTTTCATGGAGTGTGTGAGAATGTGGGCCAGATAAAAATTTTGACCATCCAAAAGAAAGACATGGAGGTACAACTGTGCTCAGAGCTGACTCAACCAACTAAACAACCTTCTGCCTGATACATGCGCCAAACCACTGCCCATCCACTGCCCATCCACCACTCATTTATTTGAAAAGGAAATATGCTTTCATCACACACAGCATCAAAAACACCCAAATATTAAACCAGTCTGAGCCTGACTGAATGCTGCTGTTGTTTAGTTTGTGTTTGGAGCTGTTTCCATGGAAACGGTGACCAAACCGAGAACCAGGGCTCTCACTAATCTTTGAAAAGCCTTCAGAAGTCTTTGAATGAATTTGTGATATTTGAGGTCATAACTTTATTGAAATTTCCTTCTTAATTCTTTTTTTAAATGTTTGATAAAATTACTGTTTATCGTGTTACATAAATATAATCCTTTGGTTCACATGAGAAATATGGCTGCAGTTAAAATGTGCTTATTCACAAAGAAATTTGGTGAAATTTGGGAAATGATTGTAAATCATGCTAAAAAACTTAAATATTAAAATCAGATTTGCCACAAAAAAGCAAAACATGTTTAAGCTGTTTAATCTTTCAGTCCAAAACATGGTCAGAGGTCTTAGGGGAAGTTTTCCACAGTTTCACAAGGTGAAATACAGGACATTTTTCACAACTTTGTTTTGCTATTTCAAAAAAATAAGAAGACAATATAAAATTAGGTTACACTTCAGTCAATGTAGTTTGGAATAAAATTTTAGTTTTGCAGCACAAACAAAAAACTGATTTTTTTCATAGCTTAAATACAAACCCAACCAGAGTGTAACTTTTTACTCAGTTTGACCACACAGTTCCGCTTTGTACTGATTAATCCAATTCATCTTTACATTTTAGGATGACATTGCTGTTCATTTTTCAACTTTGACTGTTTTGAAAAGCACCTGTAAACTATATATGGATAATATCATTAACATTATTATTCTTGTAATTTTGGACTTTTTAAAAAAAAAAGCAGACAGTAACAAACCAGCAGCCTTGTCTCATCTTTGTACTTCTATTTACTACAGTTCTGCTTCTTCTCAGTAACATTTCTCACACTCACCTGACTTTATCCCTCTGTGTGTTTTGGCAGTGTCCGAGCCCCCCAGCACGGTGCACCGGCCACAGCCTCTCCCTCCATCCTCTGGCCACCAAGCCTCAGGTGGAGGCGGGCAGGGGGAAGCGGGCTCTGCCTACTGCCTCGCCTCCGGACGCCACTCCTTCTCAGGCTACTCAGACAGCTTTGTGGGCCCCGGAGGACCCGCCAATCCTATGAACCCAGCCATTGGAAACGGGCTCTCCCCACAGGTGTGACTACTGAAGAAAATATGTGTGTTTGAGATGGTTGAAGACAGATGTTACAGAGTCAGGGAAGAACACAGAACAGTCAGAAAAACAGCAAAAACAAATGAATCAGTCCGAAAAAGTCTTCAAAATCCTGAAATGTCTTCATAATGGAACTGGTTTATTTTAATCTGAAGGAATACTCCTTTGCACCAGGATAGAGATGGTCAAATTTAGATCTTTTTTTTTTAACTGTGTATTATTTTTATGGCTATGACGCTTTAATGTTTGACAGCACACGCCTCCAGAGACCAAGAACATTTGACTAAGATAATACTTACACCGAAGTCAGGGTTGATTTAGATTTTAACTAGATTTTATGGATCTTAGATACACATGATTTACCCAGTCAGACACACACGAATGCATCAGGAGATTTGCAAAGTCAAACACACTTCTCAAATAATCTTTCATGCAGGTGTGAAGCGTAAGAACATGACACTTACAAGAAATAATTCATAATCTCTACGTACTGCAATCACACACTCCTCTGCACTGCTGGAGGAGAAAAGTAAGACAACTCCACAAGGACGGAGGACAATTGAGTGTGCGGCAAATGAGAAGTGAAAAGACAATTACAGCCAATTATCCAGGCATGAAGTCCCAAGGTCTCTGCACCTACATGGAGGGTACAACAGAGGAGACAGACCAGAGAGAGAGAGAGAGACCATAACAGGCAGAAAATGAGATTTCAGCCTGGCGCAGACGGTCTCCTCAGAGAGTGCGCTGCAGCAGTGTGAAGACAGAAACACATTCACAGGAATTCTCGTAGCTCAGCATAATTACAGAGACACGCACATCTATAGAAGTGTAGATAATTGATCAACTGCATGACGTTTGGAGGATCAGTTAAGGATTTTGCAACAACCTTTCCACAAATATTACACGACATGGTTGAGCAGCATGGCTGAGTCAACTTTCCAACCTTCTGTTTAGATTACAAGATTGAATACTGCATTTTTATGTTACTGCATCATAAGAGGGCAGACAAGCTGTTTTATCTGAACATGAGTAAATGTTGAGAAAAACTGACTGTAATCATTTAAAACCTGTATTTAAGTGAAAATGGTGCAGACATCTTATTAAATGTTGAAACTGAGAACATCTTTGCTAAAAAAACACACGCTCATTTCAAATTTGATGCATGTGTTCAAAACAGCTGGTGCAGCTTCATGTGTGTCCTCAGCTCTTTATTTACCAACACCCTGTAAATGTTAGTGAACCCTGGAGACCAGTTTCTGGAATGTGGAGAGTGAAATTTTGTCATTCTTGCCTGATAGAGGATTTCAGCTGCTCAACAGTTCAGGGTCTCCTTTGTTTTCAATGGATGACAAATAAGGACTTCAGTCAGACCAGTTTATCAGCAGGACTCTTCTACTACAGAGCCATGCTGTTGTAATCCCTGTTGTCAGAATGTGGTTTGTCATTGTTTTACTGAAATATAAGTCAAGGTAAGATGATACTTTAACAATTCCCACAACACAGGCAAAGTCAGCAAGTAAGTCTGAAATAAACTTTCACAACTTTTTACCTAAAGTTTTGTTGTTCCTGTAACAACTTTTTAGGAACATGTTGCTGCCATCAGATTTAAAATGATAGGCTTTATGATATTTTTACAAACTTGTTGTTTTTTACTTTTTACTTGTTGTTACTAATCTCTTACACAGTCTCTCAGAAAACAAGTTTGCCTTTCCTTTCTGATACACACTTCCTATAAGCTATTAAACATGCAGATACATGCATAAACATGAGCTCAGTAAATATGATAGACTTGTGGTAAGTGCACGCGTACGCACGCACGCACGCACACACAGCAACAATATCCAGCGATTTTCGAGGCCTAAGGGGAGTTTCCTCATGATTGCATTCCTCAGATGTTTGCCTCAACAGTTCTTTATTTGAAAGAAAACTTTTCAGATTTATTTGTATATATTTCATAGAGCAGGAGAGGAATGTCCTGTCTCATATGTTTCCCTGAAATCCCGACATTCTTCCCCGCTAACTCCTCATCACTCCGATTTGGGCCTCTGGCGACGGCGGCGCTCCGATATGAAACACTCTGGATGCTCAAGCTAGCAGGCATTTCATGAATCTCGGGGCAGAGAGGCACGATGAGTGGAGGTTTGGTTTAAAGGATAAAGAGTTAAAGAAGAGGTCGTTTCATGAGTGCCTATCTGTGGTTTGTGCGAGCGTATCCTCGCTCACTTTCTGCTCAAACGCAGGTTAATTTTTTAGGAAAATGTTACTGAGCACAAGAGGAAACACAACTCCCCTCTCCGAATCAACATGGACTCCTCTATCCACCTCCCCAGCTTGGGAAATGATTTAAGCAGGACCATGTGTGTGTGTGGATGTAGAATAATATGTCACTTAGAGGCCGAGAGGACCCAAAGAGCAGAGTACCTGCTTCTTATTAGGACAACTGGAGGAGCCTAGAGGCCTGGGCTCAGTGGAGGGAGGCGGGATGTGATGCATTTAAGAGGTAGCAGGTTCAGTTGGAGTTAGTTTTTATGTGATAAGGCCAGCCTCGATTTCTTATTAACGGTTAACAGAGGACTTTGATGATGGACAGGTAGATCCAGGCGGCGTTGAAGGAGGGGGGTCGATGGTATCGGGTCTGTTTTGAAACCAGTTGAAACGCTTCGCCCCGCAGCTCTTTTCCATCCTTTAGCCGGCCAAGGAATATTCCCCCCCCAAATCTGATTATCTGGTCGCTAATAAAGACCAGGTCAAGAGCTAACGGCTTTCTCAAACTGCAAATCTATCCTGTAGTCGAACAGAGCCCAGCTCACACAGACCTTCCTCTTCGTGTTATCTTTGTCGGCATATCATTCTCGGAGATAACTTATCATGTGCCGTGGGTTTTTGGAGCAGCGTCAAAAAGGAATTGAAGAATAAGTGGCGCCGTGGATCTGAGACAAATTGCTTAATTCTTCCTCTCTGGTGCTATCTCTGCCTGGAACCGGCTTGCTGAGAGCCTTTTGATGTTTGCGACGGGGGGATTTCCTTTGTGTGTCTGAGAGTGTGTCTTTGTCTGCGTGTTAAACACTACCCTGTGCCTGCACACTTAAATTAAGTGATTTTAAATTTGTTATAAAACCCTGTTAGAAACCAGAAACACGATTGAGAGTGTGTCCTTCCCATCTGAACGTTGAGAAGACACACAGATGTATAAGTTTACACTAATTATAGAGACAATCTTGTCTTCTTTAGCGAGCTGTGATGCTTCAAATGTAAACCAGTTTATGTGTTCTGTATCTGAGTGGGAAGATGCGTGACTTTAGCCGTAGCTGGGGTTTTTGCGAACAGGAGATCACTGCGTATTAAAGTGCATTTCCTCGAATCCTGGACATCCTGTCTCAGGTGGCAAGAATCCTGAAAGATTCCTGTCACTGTCAGGTAAATGAAAACAAACTTTGTCGAATCAGGTTGGAACCTCCCCAACTTTACCCTGAAATCGCCTCCATGTTTATCCATCAGCCGCATCTTGTTTGGCACTGAGGAGACATCATCTTTTGGTGGTCAGACGTTCATTAATTTAATAGAAATGTCCTTATTTACATGAGCAAAAGCAAAAAATTAGAACAACATTTGACGGCTTGTGTTTTATTGCTACTAAGCTCTGATAAAATCGGACTAAAGACAGACTTTATTAAGTTTTAAACCCCCTTAAAATCAGACTTTAGCGATAAATCTTCCAGCCATCCCCTTAGTTTGATCATGAGTATTATTTGTGACAGTGGAATTACTTAAAAAGTATTAGACATTTAGAATAATCTTATACAATCTTGAAGTTCTAAACTATATAATCAAAATTTAAGATCATAACATGTCCAAAAGTCTTTTTTTTTTCTGTGAGAGGTTTTAAATTTTAGGATGCACTTTGAAACCTGTCTTAATTTTTCACATGATCTACACTCTCTAACTTGGGTCACATGCTTGTTCTTGGTTAGTTTTTTGTGGATTTTGCTTGTTTATGGCCTTTAGAGCATCATTTATGGACACCTTCACATAGATTTTCACAAACCAGGAACAGACGTGAGAGGGAGTAAAAGTTGGCGAAATGGAAGTTCAAGGAAATGTGGCTTCAAAATAAAAGTTACAGCTTGAATAATGTCTATGAGGCAGCTCACAAAAACATGTAAACACTTTTGTAGTTAAATAGATCACACCTGTGTTAGTAAGCATCAAAATAAAGTTTGTTTTTCTTTGTTTGGTCTTTGAAAGTTTCAGATCTAGTTTTAAAGAGCTTGCAGCAACTTTGATGCCAGTATGACAGCTGAAAATGTGATTCTACCTTTTGTACTCAGCAGGTTTAGGATTGAGTTTCAGGAGAGTCAACATCATTACACACACTATTTCTGTGAAACAGATGTGTAACCAGTTCAACTCCACAAACATCCTCACAGCGCTCTGATAAACTTTTCTGTAAAAACATTTTTTTAAACTTTGCCTTTATGTCCTCCATCAGGTGATGGGTCTTCTTAACCCAGGCGGCGTCCCTCATCAGCCCCAGAGTGACTACGCCATCTCCCCTCTCACAGGGGGTCTTGAGCCCCCAGCTGGCATGGCCGCCAGCTGCAGCCAGCGCATGGACCACATCAAGGGCCTGGAGGGTCTCACCAGCGTCCCCTCTATGTCTGCTCTGCCCTCCCTGCCCAGCTCCCAATCTTACTGCCCCCCCTCCTACAGTTCTCCGGGCTACACTGTTGACCATGTGGCGTCTTACCAGTATGGCCAGTACGGACAAAGTAAGGTCAATAAACCTTCATTTTTTTTATCCTCACCTTTCACCACCTACACTCACACCTACAGGAGAGAAAAAAAAACAAAAACAAAACAAAGAATCAATCTCTAAATTTTTCATTCATGAACACACAAATTTACAAAAACTGGAAAGTAGTTTGGGATTTAAAAAAGCTGAAAATATACAAACAAAACGCAAGTTTAAGAAGAAATCATGGAAGAGCTAAAAGATTTAGAGCATGAGAAAAATTATTTATCAATTTGTCACACCCCGTTCTTGTCTTACCAAACTTTTCAGTGAATTCAGGGACATCTGCATATTGCTGCCCAATTTGAAACAGTAACCCTCACCCTATATGTTTATTTTTTTTATTATTTTTTTTTTTATTGTGACTAATTGTTGAAGTTTAATTGTAATTTCATATTTAGCTACATGTTTAAATCTCATTAGTATGCATTAGGAATATTTCATGTCAAGTTCATGTAAACAAAACAGATCAAGCAAATCTTAGCTGTGTCTTGAAAAAGAAATGTAGTGTATGATCAAAACTTTTAGATTAATTATTCCAATAAATGTAGCTCTGCTGCACTGGTGGGGTCTGAAACCATGACTTATTATTTTTAAAGATAACAAGATTACACTTTAAGAAATTAGCAGGAATGGGCAAAATGATGTGCAGTTACGGAGACATAATTTTCATCTCTCACTGACGTCCAGTGATTCCTGGTTAATGCAACAGTTTTCCAGTTTGGTTGATTTTTCTGGTTCATCCAGGTCCAGTTTGTGTGAAAGGACCAATTTGTGATAAAGGATATAACAGCACACTGACCCGACGACCTGCAGATCCACTCGAACTTAAAGAACTTCAGTGATATTTTAATTCTGTTTGATACGAAGTGACTTCTGACTTGTGTCAATGAAGCCATCTGGTTCTTTTTCAGAAAAACAGACGAGAGATTTAAAAAAAAAATTGGTCTGTTAATTTTGGACCTCGACCACATCACACTTAACACATTCAAGCTGGAAGTCCTACAATTAAATATTCATTTCAAAGCCTTTCAGAAATTTTACAGCTTTTTATTTTGCCTGCATGGTTACTGTAACTTCCTAAGCTCCATTGTCAAAATAAAAAGATAAATAAAAAAACACAATAACTTTGAGAAAATAGATGCCTCAGGACTGAAAAATCCAGTTTTGACCACAAACTGGCACGGCCAATGGATTTTCTTTCTAATCAGTGACCATAAGAAACCCCACAGCCCCTCGAGTTTCCAGGATCTGCAGTGACCTTTCACTTCTTTTCACTGAAATGAGTAGAAAACATCTGAACCCAGTCAGCCCATACAGTATATGATTAGCGGGTGTTCTGGTAGTCCAGTGGCCCAACACACAGAACATTGAACCGCACATTCCTCGCTTTGATTCCAGCAGTTTTGCAATTTTTTTCCTGGTCCAATCATGCAGTCTCAAGTGTTGGGGTTAATTGTGCAGATCTGATTCTATGAAGTGATCCAGCTGGGCACAGATCCTGAAACCTGTGGTTTGGTGTTCTGCAGAGTCCGCTCCCATCAGGGGAAGGCAGTGCCTGGTCGCCCTCCTCAGACTGTTTGCCCTCAGAGATTACCTACCTGTGTATCAGTGAGAGGCTCTTTTCACTTTACATTACTGTTACTTTAAGGGTTAAATTCAACTTCAAACATATCTACGACTAAACTTTGGAAACAGCGTCTTTCTCCGTCACCGCGTGATTACAGCGGCCGCCGTTTCCAATTTTTGGTCTACAGGGGGTTGACCAATCAGGTTCATCCAGTGACCTAGTGGCGACCTCGAGACAACCCTTCAAAGAGCGAGTCGAATCCGACCACGGCAGGTATCGAATGAATATCAGCCTAATATGCGAGAGAAGCAAACGTCTAATAAAATATCTCGGTGAAATATCTCAGAGTGAACAGAATTTAGAATTAGGGCGGCACACTTGAAAACCTAACGCACATCGTTCTGTGCATGTACACACACACACACACACACACACACACACACACACAAGCTACGAGTGCAGCCGCAAGGGCAGCACACGCACTGACACACACCTCCACAATGCAACAAACCCGAGCAGTCCATCTTGATGTGATTAATCAGTGCGACTGGATAGCCGGTGTGCGGTTGGGTTTGGAGCGGCAGAGGAAAGGTCCTTTCTGGGGGTGGACGGATCCTAATAGCCTCTGGCAGGGCGGCTATTAGAAACAGGTGCTGGCTCTGAGGTCAGCTGGGGAAGCAGCGCTGGATGGTGCTGCTCCAGGTTCCTGTGTAAGAGGCAGAGCGCTGCGAGCACTGCAGACGACATGTCGGACAAGTTGGGGACTACAGCGGCAATCCATAAAGTACTTCTTTGTGTTTAGGTAATGTCTCTGTTGCTAGGTGGGAATTATAGAAGTGTTTACGCACAGCGCTCACCTGCCAGCCAGTAAGTCCAACGCTGCTGCCATTGCTTCTGGAAATTCCCCTCTACAGTGTCTTGGCCTGTTCAGTCATGGTCAAAACTTCCACCTACTGGAATCAGACACAAAACTGCAGACTAGGGCTGAAAGATTAATCACGTTTGCCACTACATGACGATATGATCAAATGCGATTTTCTCACAGCAGAGGCTGGGATTTTGAATGCAGTTGACTGCAAGTGAGTGGAGCAAAGCAAAGTGGGCAGGGAGAGAAGTCAACAGGGCGCTCTGTTGCACTATCCCCTAATGCTTGACAGAAGCTGACACTGCAGAAAATTTAGTACCAAAGAGGGGCAGCATGGCAGTTGTGTGGATTTATTTTGGCAAAAAAAGATGCTGCTGCGCAACGTGTGCAGAACCTGTCGTGCTGTTGCTACATCAGGAGGTAACACTACAAACCTTTATCAACACTTAAAAATCACCACAAAGCCGTGTACGATAGCTGAATGGCTAAAACACCAGCGACCAGTGCAGCAAACCACATCTGCATAACGACGGAAAATGCATCTGAGTGAAAAGTCCTGACTCCAGTGTTTTGAGCACCAATTACATCTATACGTCCAAATGGTACGTAAATAAGTATCATGACATATATGAGTGTGTGTGCATGTGTGTGCAGAGAGAGGTTGTGTGTGTGTGTGTGTGTGTGTGTGTGTGTGTGTGTGTGTGTGTGTGTGTGTGTGTGCGTGCAGAGAGAGGGTGAGAGAGAGAATTTAGGAGTTGGAGGGAGAGAGAGAGAATGTGAACGTGTGTGTTTATTCCAAAATTGATAATCTTTGGCCAACAAGATGGGGATCCAAAGAAATGACATTTCCAAAAAGAACAATTTATTGATACTAAATAAAAATAATCGCATTTAAAATCGCAATCACAATGTTGAGGAAAAAAATCGCAATAAGATTATTTTCCAAAATCATTCAGCCCTACTACAGACTGAGTAAGTGATCCAAGGGTGTTGCAAACTCCAACAATGATGGTCACCATGTTGGAAATGCTGAGTCCAACAAACCAGAACTGGCAAACAGAGGCACTGTGACCATCAATCATATAAGCCACTCCCCCACTTATGCATCAGTAAACAAACTCAAAGTCTGTACAGAATCAAATTATGCACGTTTACGAAAAACAAACAAACAAACAAACAAACAAAAAAAGAAACGCCCCAGTTGAGTTGTTCGCAATAAAGGAATGAAATATATATATAAAAAAAGCTTTACACCATGTTTAATTCTGCTGCAAAAACTGTAGTGTAGTTTTAGTTCAGGCAGGTCACAAAGTCAAATTCAGCCAACAGCTGACAGCTCAGCCATAAGTTGACACTCAAATTTAGCCCCACCCACTCTTCCTGCCTTCACCTCAGCCCTTCCTTTATGCTGAATCTGATCCTACCAATGTCATGAAGACTGTTATGATGTCTGCTTTGTATCCTGGAGGACTTTGCTGATGCTCTCCCTGCCTTAGCTTGTCATGTTTGCACATGGAGCAGAGGGGCAGGTGTGCTCTTCCTTCCTCAGGCATTTCATGTGTACAAGTGGAAGGGCAGGGAGCTCTCGAAACAGAGCTACACTGCCAATTATAAGTTGCTGCAAATGATGAGTTCCTTTTTGACGAAGGTGGTCCTGACTGGAACTGGCATGATTAATGTTGGTTGTTTTTGTAACTGCAGTTTTTTTGCCCTTTTTTGTTGGCTCCATTTTTCAACATCAGCTGTTGCTGTCATTTAAAATTTGAGGTTTTCAGAAAGCAATTTTGCATTTATTTTTATGACTTTAAATTCGTACATGATTATTAATTTACAGGTGTATTAAAATTTTCATTCTACCCTTTTCTTGTGAGACTAATTGTTTAAGAAAATACGAACTGTAAAGACTCAGCAGAACAATTTTAGCAGGAGAGCGACAGGAAGCAACCAAATTGGGTGACATGCGTTTTATACAATCAGTCAATAAACTGATAAAATATTCTTGCTACGATGCAAATCACAATAATACAAATGTCATGGCATTTCATATGTTGCAGGTGAAGGATATCTGCTTCATTTGAGAACAAAAATAATAATGTATGAGGCAAACTCTCTGAGTTCAGGACGTTAACGTGATTCAGTCTATTCTCTAAATGATGATGAATTTGATCACAGCATCCACACACTTCTGATGACCTCACACCCCAGCCATTGTTAGCACACACTATGCTAACAGCAGCCATATGTTCAGAGGATATCACTAAAACATGTGCCTTTGATTTACTACAGCCATACATCTCTTTTATCATCCCTCCACTTTTCTCCTGGTCATAATTTAACACCTGTTTCTTCCTTTTCCGCACAGGTGCCCTTTCTTATCTGAGGCCTGAGATCACCTGATCCTGAGACTCCACAGAGGGACCTTTGCGTGTACAGCCATAGAAATCCTGCATTATCAGGACCAAACTCTTGCGACAGTTTACTGGGACAGGTTTTCCAGAGCAGGAAAAGTACTATTGAATTTTTGTGCAACGAAAAGGAGAAAAAGAAGGGACCACAAGAAGGACTGAAAGACCAAAAACTGTGCAACTTTGAACATAAAAAAACAGTCCTGAAGTAGAAAGAGGGATGTCGAGGCTTCATGTGTTTGCAGCGCTTTGAGGAGGGAAATCCAGCGACCAAACTCTATCAGAGGACTCAGATCTACGCGCACAGACTTCAAGTCTTTGAGTCGATGCTTGAGGAGCCTGTTTATGTATCTACACGGCAGAACATGTACAATCTCTGGATCAGTCCTTGACGTGAATCTGCAGAGTAAATGAAAAGAAAAGGCTTCCTTTTTTTTTCTTTTTCTTTTTTTGTCGTTTATTTGGAGAGAAATTCCTCAGACAGAGAAACAAACCTGAGCAAACAAATCTTTGGGTTTTATTGTATCCCAACCTTTAATGTACAACCCAGCTGTACTGCAGAGAGAGCTCTCCCAAACATTCCTCCACCCCCTCCGTCGCTCCCTCCTCCTGCCTTCTCTGTTTCATTGATGTTTTGGGACGGTGAAGCAGGGATCCTGGCCTTTTGTAGTTTTTAAAGAGGAACTCAGAGGAGGTCAGGGGTTGACTTTAGGAAAAGTGACAGATGAGAGAGCAGTCGAGGAGGGCGGACAGAGAAGTGGCTTACAAAGAAAGGGGGAAGGGGTGGGATAGGCTAGATCGATCACAGGGTTAAAAAACCCTTTAAAGATCCTCTCCCAGTGAGAAAAAGCCACCAGGTCACAAGTCACGACCGAGAGACACTCGAGAAACTGAGAGACTTTCTCCCAGCTGACCAGAAGTGCAATATCACATATCTCAGAGTCTTAAAAACAATAAAAAGCGTTTAAAACAATAAAAAATCAAACGTGCCTCTTTAAAAGTCTTACACTCTGGATCTACTCTTGGGATTTTGTTTGAAGCTTTCCCAAAGGAGCAACACATGTGCCTTTGAGGCTTCAGGTCCAAAATAAATAAGAAACATTGTTAATATCTCTGTAACAGGACACTGAGGGGACCACATTTGTAAGTCATGAGGAAAAGAATGAATGAAGGGCATGCCAATGTAAACACAAACCAGGAATGATGAAGCCAAAACAGAATTTTACTTTATTTTTTTATGTTGCTTGGGACCATTTTGCAGGAAATATTGATTTTATTCATTCTGGACATATTTATTGTCAGAAATGTTCTGTACCTGATCATTTTCTTAAATTTCCCACCATGTACAAATGACAATACTATATCCATCAACCTCTTAGAATAACAGAGTGCCTTCAGGAGTATCTCTGTGTTGTACATCTGTTCACGAGTGTGTTTCCATGGACTTGAGAGTCACAGTACTAATCCGGTTTTTGAAGTATCCTATTTTTGCATGTCAACATCATACCCTGATTTCAGAATCCGGGGTGGTCGTCTCATGTCAGGATCAGTTTGATCTGTAGATGGGGGGCAACACTGAAATGCTACTCATGTCTGTGGTCAACAGGCTACTGGACACTGGTTTCTCAGTATATAAGGAGCAAGTCAGGCCACATTAGAAAGTACTCAAGAAACATAAATTATTATTTATTTGCCCCACATTGCAACCTCTGCATGTTCTGCAACCTGCTTCCACCCCAGCCTTTCCTTGTTATGCTGCCTGGTTTTACCAGTCATATGTTTACCCATGATACCTGGTCCACCCTGTATCCTGATGGTCTTTGCTGCCACTCTCCCTATCTTTCAGTGTATGCACATAACAGGGACAGGAGATAAGCTCTCCCTGTTGTAGGCTCTACATATATTCAAGTGCTGTGCTGGTGCTCCCCTCTGCAGGGAGAGCACTAGCAAAGCCTGGGGGTCTTTGCTGAGACTCTCCCTACCTTTTATTATATGCACATAACAGAGACATGAGATATGCTCTCCCTGCTGTAGGCTTTGGCACTCTTTATATGTGAGTGTTTTGCTGGTGCTCTCCCTGCCTCTGGCACTCAACAGACACATGTTGAAGAGATGCTCTCAGTATATAACTTATTGCATAGTTGTATTGCAGGTTTCTCTGAGTGCATGTAAAGGCCAGACCCTTAATATGATCAAAACCAGGCTAAGTCCGGTAACTAGGATACCAAGTCCATGTAAACACACTCAACGTTAGAAAAAGCAGTCCTTTCATTCCTTTGTTATAATTTTTGTATTATTGGACGATACATTATGACATTGCGTCATGTGTATGAGCGCATTATCTCTACTATTTATAATAAAATAAAAGCTCTGAAAACAGCTGCTGTTTGTGTTGGTTCTCAATTCAGCTGGCCGTATTTCATAAAAGAAGTCTTTGTGTTTATTTTTGCCACAACATGAGGAGAAACAGAAAGCGAGTGACTGTGATTCACTCTGCAGAAGAATCCAATTCGGAGACAAATGTGTACTTTGAAGACATTCATGTGAACCCTCCAACCAAAATAGGCCGAGCCAAATGGGGATCACCAGACATTATTTGACACCGAGCACAACAGGCTTTCTCACGGATGGTTGTAAACGCTCAGACATCTGCATTGGAGAGTATTAATACCCTCGCCGGCCCCCGCTACTGTAACAAACTGACTTTTGTTTAACAACCTCTGCAAGCCTTAAAGCGCTTTGGACAAACACCCCCTCCAAAAACCTCTGCAACCCATCCAGCCTGCTTACACACACAGGCCGGAGTCTGTGAGTGTTTGTGCACCACATGCATTCATACATTATGTTCATGCTCACACATTTAGTTTTCATGTGTGTGTGTCTGTTCATGCAGCCGGAGGGTATTGAGCCTAATTATAACATTCTTCTGATTAATCGTGTCTGCTCACAGCCCTCGGAGGGCCGCCGCTGTGTGCAGCTCGTGCAGCGGGACCACACGCTCTATAAATAAAGTCTAAGTCAATAACAACGTGAAGGATCACTCGTAGTCTTGTCAGCTCTGTTTGCTAAGCCTGAATAATTCAACCAATGAGAGGACACCAACACACACACACACACACACACACACACACACACACACACACACACACACACACACACACACACACACACTCTGGAAAAGTCTGAGGAGCAGCGGTGTGATCACACACACACACACACACACACACACACACACACACACACACACACACACACACACACACACACACACACACTGTTTGCTTTCTTAATCAGTCCTTACCATTAAAGATGAAGACAAATCACACCTGTGAAATACCAAAGCCTAGCATTACCTTTATTAATGACCCCTGCCCTGCTCTGAAAAGCCTATTATTTCTCTAATACACCCCAGAGTGTAGTTAAATGGAACTATTTTAATGGTATTTCATACGGCCAGATAATGACAGATTTTTGGATCCAGCAGGTCTGCCTGGCAGCAGAACTGCCGACAGGTTCTTTTGCTCCTCACACAGAGAGCTACATTCAAAGAAATCCAAATAAAATAAGCAGATTTTTGTCTTTAATTCATTATTTTTCTTTAATTGGGTAAAACTTTCCAAAAACCACAAATATACACAACTGCCTTTGGTTATGTGTCCTTGTTAGCCTTAAAACGAATCCAAGAACCTTATGGGAAGGCAGAGAAATCACACTCCAGATGACACAAGTCCTCAACCCAAGAACTAAAACCTGTAACCTACATAAGTTTGACTTCTGTCTGCTGCAGCACTCTTCGTTATGCACCCCTTCTCTTATCTCACCAATATTCAGCAATTAAGTTCTCAGAAAGCAGCAGACTCTGGACTTTTACACTTTATGTTCTAATACATGATTAAATGGTCTGAAAACCAGACTTCAATACAGTTTATTTTCATTATTTCAAAGGTTAACTCTGTTATATAAAAATATAGAATATATAAAAGGTAATGTTCATAATGTCCAATCAGTACTAGATACCACTGGTTAATGCAACAGCCTCTTCATTTTTCAGGAGATTCAGTTTGGTTACTTTCTGTGTTTCATTTCATAAATGCATGACACTATTGTTCCCCATGATGGTCAGGTTATGACTGGTCACCATGAGTCTACCTAATTTCAAACGTGGTCTTCAAACTGGCTCAGTCAGTTGATTGTTGTTCATCCACTCAAATCTTCTGTCAAGGGATATTCTTCTTCTTTCAAGGGATATTCTGGCGTAAAATTCAGTTATGGTCAAACACACCGTAACACCGAGTTAGACACCCCCTCAAGAGATGAATGTTGCCGACTGCCTACTTCTCTAGTTATACCAGCTTTAGTAACGACCGCACGATAGCAATACACAGCGGTCTATGGAGCCACTCACAAACCTCAACCAAAAAGCCACTCTATAGCAACAAATAATGCTCAGAACAGCACCTAACTTCATCAACAGTACATATAGGGTCCCAGCCATAGTACTAGTGATCAAACATCTTTTTAGCTTTGCCTGATTTCTTTAGCAAAGAGACTAAACACAACTCACCTACTTTCTTCAAGCAGCCGCTTGTTTGTGGGGGAGCCCTAACGAGCCGGTCGCCGAGACGTAGACTGCTGTGTATTGCTATTCTGTCATTGCTGAAGTTGGTTTAACTAGAGAAGTAAGTAGTCTACAACAACTAACTCTGTGCTACAGTGTGTTTGACCATAACTTAATTATACACCAGAATATCCTTTTTGGAAAAACAATGTCATCAAATTCATTCAAAGGGTGTTGCAAGCCTCATGGTTTACACACCAACTAAATTTTAAGGTTATAAATGTCATGATTTATTATATATTGGTTATATCTATATAACATCTGCATGTGGAGGAGGACATGTGATGCATCTGTGTATAGCACAAAAACTGAACAAACTGTAGCCCAGCTTGTATGCTGGTTCTCCCTACAGCTTCCCATTAAAGGTGCAGAGCTGACCAACATCCATTGTGGCTAGCAGAACATCAGTGTTTCCTCCCTCTTTGCTGGCTTGGTCCATGGGCTCCTGCAGAGTGAGGCTGCTGGCTCTGCGCTACAGTGCAATAACTCTGCAAGGTGTTAATTTCATGTTGTGCTAAGTGAGAGCCGATCGCCTGCTGAGAACAATACGTCCCAGCCGCTCCTTTACACTTCTGAGAGAGATAAATGTGAAATAACAGAGCAACTGCAGCTCTGAACACACACACACACACACACACACACACACACACACACACACACACACTCTGATAAACACTCATGTGATCCTTCTTAACCCCCCTGGGTTCAAGGATTTTGTTTTTTTCCACGTTGTTGTGATCGAATACGACCTCCAGATCACGCCAGCAGCTGCTTCTGTCACTCCCTGTGAGTTTGTGCGTGTGTGATTTTTCATGTCTCCACCATGTGTGCTCTCACTCTCCGACTGCATGCACAGTAAAAAAAAAACGAAAGTCCCTATAGTTGTGTTCTCAGAAAGAAACCTGTTGGTCTGTGGGTCCAAAGGTTTGCACAAAGCGTTTTTAGTTTGACTCTGAGGACCAGCTGCACAGTGTTTGCATGCTAAACTAGTGCCCCAGATGTTCAGGGTCTAAAAAAGACAAAGAAAGAAAAAAACAATATTGAGGAAAAATTAAAACCTTTTATGGCCTTAAGGGTTTAAAGGTGTTTTTGTGAGTTTTGGACAGTTTTATACTTAATTTTGTCCTTTTCGTCTCAATGAAATTCATCGTCCTGTTGTTTATAAGCCTTCTGCACAGTCTGGGGGTAAAACCAGGTGGAAGTAAATTTCTTAAGGTGTGTTCCCCATACCGTGGCCTGCCATCCAACCCCTGAACACACACTTAACCCCTGACACTCCCCGGCATTCACACACTCTGTCATCACAGGTCTCTGCTGCTGCTGACCCGAGCACCGACACATGCTGGGGACAACTTAACCTCTGAACCTCCAGACGGAAAAAACACATCGACGGACGAGGGCAGAGGAGGGGTGAACAAAGGGGGGACAGAAATTGACTAATTCATGACCTCCAGGTTGAATCTTTTCAGGTAATTTGGTTTTTGGTTGTTTTGTGTTCTAGCTGCTGCGTGTGTTTGGTCCGAGAAAAGCAGCACTGATCAGAGGCTTGATGGGTTACAGTTTAACGTGGTATCTGGTTTTGCTGTATTGCTGCGTGGCATGGCAGGTTCAGACCAATATCTGTCCTGTTAAACATGACAACATGGCTGTAATGCAGAAAGACTGTGGGAAGTCCTTGAAGTGGATTTTACTCCACGTCAGGGTTTAAATTGTTATAATTTTAAAAGAGAAAAACCATGTGACTCATCTGAGACTCATAACCTTCATGGTGTTCAACTCCAAACAAGAGAAAGAGCTTTTTATGGATGATTTGAACCCAAATGCACGCTGGGAATATAATAATCCAACAAGTGATAAATTTATCTAGTTACTTGATTATTTCATGATATTTGATGCAGTTAATGTAATTTACAGGAGAAATCCAGTCTCAAACTAGATTCACATCAAAAGAAGGGATAAATATCTGACTTTGCTGCTGATAACTAATAAAAATCTGATCAAGTAAAACTGTAGGACAGTGCAGCCTTTTATACCCAGCCTGATTTTATGGCTTAGAACACTTTTTTTTTATCCAGCTAATAAAACAACTTGTAATCATCAATCATTTCTTGTGATAGAATTTTGCATTTTTATGGTTTGAATTTCAGAAAAATGAGAGAAATGTGCAGTTTTTGCAAGAATCACATGGGAAATGTCATCATGAAAGGAGACAACAATGTGCTTTTCTTTGGAAGTTTAATATTTTGGAATTTATGGCTGTTTATATCATGTCTTTGTAGTTTTTTAAGCAAAGTCTTTAATTCAGCAGATTCAGCCTCTCATGTTACAAAGGATACGATCGGCACCATGAGCTTTTAAATATCAGGTCAGAATAGATACTACCACTGAGATCACTGCATGTGTAATGTGGTTAGAAAGACGTATCATAGCAGTGCTACATAATAGAGGAGATGAGGGTCAAGCGCCTGTTTGGTGCCTTAGTGGCCTTGATGACAAACTGGTTTTTAATGAAAATAGATGTCCACAAAGAGCCCTGTGTCCAGTTTCTCCCTGTGGTGTTACTCCAAGCCATGACAGACAAGAAATATGTGCACAAAACATCTTTCAGCTAAATACAACAGAAGTGAGCACATACACGGCTGTTAAATTAAAAAACAAAAGACAAATCAATTTTTTTATTCAAATTAGGTCATAATTCAATCAGACGTGGTCATGTAGACCCACCTTAAGTTGTTTAAGACTGGTACAGCAGATGGATGCTGAGCTACACCAAAACAAATTTGGCAAGTCCCCCAGAAGAACTGGTGCCAGTATGTTGCACATTTGATCCAAAATGTAGGAGAAAATCTTGTAGCTGCCCCTACAACAACACCTGTTTAAGTGGTTATCCTTTCTTTCTTGCCTTGTGTGTAACTGTATGTAGTTGGCTCTTATTGTTAAAGCAGTTACAGATGCAGTGTTTTGCATAAATTAGCACCAACTTTTAAAAATAAAAAGAAACCACTGTTTTCTGTGGTCCTCTGGTGCTGAGACAGTATGAAGACATGCATTGGTTTTTGCAACCAACAACCAAACAGTCTGACTTCAACCTTTGACATCTTGACTCTGCAACACTAAAGCATAACCACAATAGTGAAGTGGTTAGAAGTGGTTTTACACACATGCACATGCCAATCACTCCTGTTGTTGCATCATCACAGGAGGAAATCCAAATCCCCCCTGTGGAGGCGTCATTTTCCCAGGAGCTACAGAAACATGCTGATGTATTTTATTGTATAGAAACTTCAATAAAGTTAATATTTTATTACACACAACCATTGCACATCCTGCAAAAGCCCTTGGTGAGTCTGTTGTATCATACTGTGACATCAATCCAACCCAGTTGTCAATATCACTCATGATTCATGTGATTTATTTGCTCTTTTCTTTCCATGGTCTCTGTGATTTTGTTGTTTGATTGACAGGAGTGAGCATACTTTTGACTTTATTTGGACCTCATGGCTGTGGATTGTGCAACTGAATCAGCAAAGAGTCTAGTGTCAAGCGCAGTGAGGTTTGGCCTGAAGTCCTTGGGAAAAAATTGGCTTTACTGTATTTGTGGTTGCTTCATTTTTCTGAGTGTAAAAATTGAAAAGACAAGGGACAGAAACTGAACGATTGAGATTAAGGCTAATTAATAGGAAGAAACAGACACAGAGGAAAGTTGGTTGTAATGTTGACACACATTTTTCCATGAGGGGTTTGTGGTATC